AACTTACTTTAAGGTGTTCCATAATGCAATAATTTCGCGACACTATCAAATTAAAAAAAAAAGGATATAAGTTTAATGAAAGGACGCTTCAGAATCGACACTAATGATAACATTCATAAAACTGAACAATTTTCCTTAAAAAGAATAATAAAAATCTGAATTTTTTTTAACTTCTTATACTAAATCAATCGAGAGACCGCATGACTTGTATGGAAATTGAAAAAATTATTTAGGAATTTCGAATTCATTCGTTGAGGACTGTTTGCTTTATAAATCATTAACAATTTTGATAATAGTACTTTAATCAGAAAGTTACTCACGTGATAACCTTCTGGCAATCATATCGATATTGAAGTTTAAAAAAAAGTTGTTCTTACATTATAATTTCGCTGAATAAATGATCTTATCATCATATTGGCCGTTAACTTTCGAACATAGACCTACCCCATAAGAGGCGTTTTCCCAGTAGTTGCCACGCTTGGCAGGTGGTTTGGCAACCGCAGTGTCTTTGGTGATTTTGTAAGAGGAACGGTGCTATATATGTATATACTACAACTACTACTAATACTACAAAAGATGTGCTAAAACAAAATCATATTCAATGCGAATTCTTATTCATTCATATACCTAATAATAGCTTCAAACTGGTAATAATTTTGTATTTATAAATTCTTGGTTTTTTCCTGTTTGTTCGTTTAAATAATTTTATCGTACATTTTTGCTTGATTAAGAATCAGAACCGGTTAGTTAACAGGTAACGCGGAAGGGTTCCGACTTTCAATGGATTATTGAATGATATCATTAACTTCCTTAAAAATCGGTTATATTTGTATAATCCTTACTAATATAATATAACAAATGAAGTTTTCCGTAGAGACTGCAGAATGAGACTCTTCAAAAAGGGAGTCAACGCACGCGTGACACCCCTGGTGTTGCAGGCGTCCATAGGTTACGGAAACCGTTAACCATATGCTTGTTAACTATGCTTGTCATTGTTATTACCCGATTGCCCTTTGCTTGTTTACTACCACAGTAGTATAAAAAAAATTGTCAAAATCTCTTTGTTTGTAACCTCTTGACACCTAAGTAGGTAAATGAGATTGAAAAGGTTATAAGTTGCATTTTATTAACGTCAATCAACATTTTCTGATCATGCGAACAAAATCACGGGTAATTAATGCATTATAGAATTTAATAGAAAAAGAACAAAGTAAGTATTATTTATTAATTCTTAACACCTTGACTGAATAAAATCTGAATAAAATTTTATATACACGTAATACCTGTTAGAAATGGAGATTTTCCGATCAACAGATTAAGACACGGCCAAAAACTGGAATATCGATAAAACATACCGTCTATTTTTGTTTAGAATAATTTATAATCTACCTATATCTGTGAGCTTATACGTATTTATATAGAGTTGTTATATGTTTTAATTATAAATGTTTTACAGAAATTTGGTATGAATGAAAGCAATTTAAGACAAGTTAAAGATACGATGATATTATTGCCATCAAAATAAAAAAGAAACATATTAAGAATAGTATTATACTTATTATTTTTTATTACAATTGTCGTCTCGGATTTACTGAAAAGGTTAACAAGTAAAAATAATTAGGCTTTAAGACCTAATACATATGTACATAACTTTTTTTCTGGACATTAATTAAAATGAATATTGCTCTTTAAAATCTGGGTATATGTTTTTTTTTTATACAACTTAGAATGACAAACAAGCTGACGGCCCACCTGATGGAAAGTGGTAACCGTCGCCTATAGACATGAGCAGTACCATGGACATAACAGAGTATACTGTTTTGCCCATGATACCCCCCATGCATTGCCATTCCTAAGGACTCAGGTATTATTCACACCACACATACATGCAAACACAGCCATGCAAATACAACTGCTTCACGGTTGAAACACGAATGGGACAAAGGTACCCAAGCAATCGACTTTTGTACAAAGTCTCCCTCTGGTGTAGTTATGTCTAGTTTTTGTAACCATAAATTGAGATCAAATGCTATCTTTTATAATCCAGAATATGACTATTTTACAAAATTTTATTGAACTTTGTTTAGCCATTTAAATCTTATCAAGTAACCAAACATGTGTACCTATTTTCTTTAATGTAACTTAGAATGGCAAACAAGCTGATGACTAACCTGATAGAAAATAGTAACTGTCGTCTATAGACTTGAATAGTACCATGGACATGTCAGAATATACTGTGTCGCCTTATACACGTTGCCATTCCTAAGGATTATTATGCCGCTGTACCCTGTAAAATTTTATTTTTATAATATTATATATTTTTATTTATATATAATGTTTATAATATATTTAATAAGAATATAACAACCATATATTTTGTTAATTATAATTTTAAACCGCACAATTACAATACAATACAATCGTTTCAATTCTCAAAACAACATCAAACTACCGTCATTGAAGTTCTAATTTCGTCTCAATTAAAATTCTACTTTTTATAGGAGTGCAAAAAGATATTTATCAAACCAGTTTACTTTTATTATTTATTTTGTAATAATAAGTTAATATAATTTAAATAAAATTGAGCTTCCTTATTAGTTCTGACGATCGGCGCTCCTCTTAAACATTCAATAAAAACAAAACTTGAAAACCGTAAAAAAAGTACTTATGCAAAGTTAGAATTTCAATAAAGTTGTACCTACATTAATTAAATTCTTATAAGGTAAATATTTGTTAGAAATACTTATTTGTTCAATGTCCAGAGTTGCTTATAATAATCTATAAATATAAAATCGTTTATTCAAACTGTTTCATTAATGCACAGCCTTAAGGGGTAAAACTTGAAAGTTTATTACGTAAATTTTTACATCGTAAAATGCATCAACTGTCAATCGACAAACTTCCCTAGTAGATGTTCACTAAGATGGGATTTTTTAGAAACTCTATACCAAAAAGGATAAAATAAGGTATAAACTTGTATAAAAAACAAGATGTCTGGTTAAAAGTAAATAAATACATATTTCTATATTTTATATACCTGATCTAAATTCTTAGCGCCTTTTTCTAAAAAACTAAAAATATACATCATTTTCAAAGAAAAATGAAATTTTAATATTAAAACTTCTCAGCAAAAATAAATATATATGTATTTCGTCGTTTATGAAAATTCAACCTCAAATGAGAAAAATCGGGAAACTTTATTATAAAATAGGGTTAAAAGTATAGCATACCTATACTATAGTATAGTAAAGGTATAATCTAAATAGACGACTGGCATCATATAAAGTTTATGGCATTAATATGCTGTAATAACTACTAACTAATCTGTTTTAGCTTTTGTTTTGTAATCCTTCTATAATATAGTTTATTATATAGCTAAAGAAAAGGCATTTAAAAATTCGAAACTTATACTGAACCTTATATAGTTTATTTTCTATATATCATATTAGCAAGGAAACAAAAAAAAATATTTTTGATTTAAACACAACAGATGTCAAACATATAAATATTAATTAATGTTAAGAATATTTGACACACGAATAACAATATAAGCACTGATAATACCGGTTTTGATCTGAAATTAAACTTCCACATTAATGCGGAAATAAGATTAAGTATAGGAACTCTTGCTGAATGTCATTGACAATCCAATTTTAAACGATGTTTCTGCTGAACCCTGACTTATCGCGGGGTCAATTGATGAGTACAATGAAATGATTTACAAATTTATTTGCTTAATTATAAAAAGTATTAAAACTTATAACTACTATAAATATATGTAATATAAAATATTATATATATAACAATAATACAATCCATGCTTCCGTTACAAATATTGTATTAATTTTATTATGCATAAAATTGCTTTTAAGATTATACAGGGCACAAAATAATTGTTTTTTATTTTAAGTTTTTTTATGCAACTTAAAATGGCAAATAACCTGACGGCCCATCTGATGGAAAATGGTAACCGTCGCCTATGGACATGAGCAGTACCATGGACATAACAGAGTATACTGTTTCGCCCATTATACCTCCAATGCGTTGCCATTCGTGTTATTCCTCTGTACCCTGTAAATTCACTGCCATATTCCACCCTTCAAACCCAAACATAGCCATGCAAACACCACTGCTTCACGGTAGAAACACGAATGGGACAAAGGTGCCCAAGCAAACGATTTTGTTACAAAGTCTTCCTCTGGTAAAAAAGTGGGTATTTTTTAAAGACTATATAGTCTAACAAAGCTTCATACTATCATCAGCATGGAATTTCTTATTCAGTTTGAAATGTCGAACTAACTTAATTATAATTTAAGATTGTGTTTCACCAAAACACAGATTTAAAACTAAACTACTGAATTAATATTGATAAAAAATCTATGGAACTAATCTGAAACCTAACGTTTTCAGATAAAAAATAATTTTCCAAATCAATTTATACATAACGACGTCATAAGGTAACAAACATAAACAAAATATAAATGAAATGAAAAACTCCTCCTTTTTGAAGTAGATTGAAAACTTTGCAAAAATATTAATGACCGCTTATCTATTATATTCATGGCTAATTTCATTTAGGTAAAAAATACTTTTTTTTATACAACATGGAATGGCAATCAAACTGACAGTCCACCTGTTGGAATGTGGTAACCATTGCCTATAGACATGAAAAGTAACTATAAGCGTCATAGTGTATTTCATGGCAGTGATATGTTACTATTTTATATCATTTACAATACTCATCACTATCCAATTAGCTATGAAATCATCATTATAAATGATTGGATTTATAATTGTTAGTTACTTTGTTATGTCTGTCGATATGTACAATGTAACAAGTTCTTGAGAACATAATCAACTTCGTTGATCCGTGCAGTGAAAAATAAGAAAAAACTGATTAACGCCGTAGTAATAATACAGTCTACAGAACTCTTGTAACATAATAATATGATGAGGATCTATAATACGACCGACTTGCGGTAAGAACATAAATAAGTCGCTCAGACGACATATCCTCGCAGTAGGTGTTGAGCTCTTCATCCAAAAAGTTTTCCTCATTTATTCATTAATCGAAAAATACAGCAACAGTACTATACTCGTACGATGCAGGTGATATTCAGTTTTGTGCTGTTTGGTGTTTTTTGCAAAACACTCGGAGAAGAAAGTTTTTTACGTAAGTCAATTAAATATTCTTTCCATAGACAAAAAATTAAGAATTTCATAATTAAAGTAATATTAAAAATATTGTTTTTTTGTGATATATATTAACATTATTTATACAAGAGTTAAAAAACTATAACTCTTAAAATGTTTTTGTTTATATTGGTATTGGTGCTTCTCTATTATAAACAAATAAATTAGATAGTGAATAGATTTAATTGTTCGTTTGTTTATTTGTGATGGATAAGCTTAAAAAGATATGTTTGTATGTACAATAGATAACTTTAAAAAGCTATATTATAAGTGAGTTTCATAAGCTATATATTATTTTCGAAAATCTATCTACCCGTGCAAAGCCGGGCCGATTCACAAGTAGGCCTATAAGATTAAAACTCGAATAGTTATACAAAAAGCAGAACTAATAGTAATAAATTAAAATATAAAAATATAACATGGATACAATAAAAAAAAAAAAACATTGTACGTCATATGAGTATAGTTGGCCCATTTTTTTTAATTTTCCTTACCTTACTATCATAGCAAAACTCCATTTATATCTATATATATATTAATGGAATAATTCAGCAACGACTACCGTGTGAGCCATGACCTTATAGTCCCAAAATTGTAACTGCTGTAGGTTTTGTTTCACTCTTTGTCCTTTTGTCCATACATCTCAAAGTGTATACACAACCAAGAATTATATCCGTCATCTATGCAAAGTAACGTATTGTATGTTTGATGACACAGTAAGAAACTACTCGTATTATTAAATTTATTCTGTGGTAAGAAAACAATGGTTTACAAACATAATTATAACGATGATGAAAAATTGCTTTTCGTCCCCGGATGCCAATATGAGACGATAGTACATGTGCTAGTGAGCTAGTTAATATTCTCTTTTTATGAACAAAAATCTATGCGCAGTGGTGGAATATTAATCAATTATTAATAATGTATGATAAACATATGTATCACTGTATTACGTAGGTCTTGAACTGTAATCAGTTTTTAAGTAAAAGTTCTCCATATTTTAAATGTGTATGTATATGTACAGCGAATACAACTTTAATTTTGAGCCGATTTTAACAAATATTTTTGCAATCAATAAAGTTTTATTGTATTAACTTTATGACGTTTAATGCTACTATTTTTCTGTACGATATAAAATCCCATTTGCGAAACAACATCTACTTGTAAACACGTGACTCTGCGAATTAAATTCGAATATTTTCAATATAATGTATCTACGAAACATGCAATGTTCTTCGATATACAAATATCCTGGAAACAAATCCAGGATTGAAGTCGCTTTTTTGCGTATCAAAATATACTTTTTTATTATATTAATAGACAATATCATAATTATGTTGTCAATTGCATGATATAACCTCCTGATCTAAACATAGACAAAGAGTGGTAGCACGGGCGTAGAACTAACCATGTACCTATACAATTGAAATAATAACAATCATTGTGTCGATGGAATCATTAGGTACAATTTGAAATTGATAATCATTATAACGGCACAATAAAATTATGAACTAGTAGACAGTGTTTTTGCAATGACTAATTATTAAATACTAAATAAGGGACTTTTATTAAGTTTTTACAGACTATAGTTTTAAGTATGACTACGTCTGATATGCGATATTTCAATGAGAAATATCTGCCTTTTTTCTCAAACACAAAATGTTTGCGATTTTAATACAATTTGAAGGTTCAAGCTCGATTTAAATATTCCTCAATTTTGGTGAAGTAGGTAATCTATAGAAAATGGTGAGAGGGATTGTTAGTAGGATCTAGCGGTCCCATTTCTAGCAATCTATCCTAACAGGTCCATCTAGAGACAATGGGCGATCTGACCTGAGTATATCTTTGCTTATTATCCCTCGCTGCTACCCGGCCAGTGTAAACTATGCAAGGTTACATTCAATTTTAAATTATTTTCATAAAGTGAATAAAAATCAGACACAAAAGTAAATAATTCTCATTACTATGTCAACTCTCACTGCCATATTTATTTATATGTAACATAGGATATGTCATAATATTATTTATTAAAAATTAAGTGTTCGTTACTTCATCGATTAATTTTCACGGTTGTCTTTATATTTAATTTTAATTCATTGATTAAATTTCATGCAGCAGCAACATCATGACCATGACTCTTACAACAGGGTCAAAATATCATCATACTCGAACCAATCATCGTTGTAAAAATCTGCGACTATGCATATTAAAAGCAAAGTTGTATTGATTAAAAGAATTACGTAGATATGTACCATTATATTATATAATCAATCCTAACTTATATATTTATTATATTAATATGTATTATGTCTAGTTATTTATATATGTATTGTATGTGATTTATGCATGTATAATTTTTGTAAGTACGTTATTCTATATGTTTGTATGTTCATTTTTCTTAAAATGTATTATATTTATTTATTTACAAATTTTGTAAAATCAATGCATCGCCTTTTACTCTCTCTATTTAACGTAACAGTTGACTAGTAGAGAATGCCATCAGGCATTATGTACATATTTTAATGTCTACAAAAGTATAAACAAATAAATATGAAAATAGTAAGTCTTCTATACTAATAGTGTTAACGAGGTCTAGACTTAAAACTTGTAAGTATGATACCTCTTACTAATATTATAAATATGAAAGTGCGTGTGTTTATTTAATTGTAACTTCTTGGCACGTTAATGCGCTTACTGATCGTCATACGATATATGTAGTTATTGAAACAAAGAAAACGTAGACTACTTTTTATTTCGATCAATCAACATGTCCCAGTTACGCGGACGAAGTTACGAGTAAAAATTAGTAAATCATGTCATGCTGAAGTAACGATGATGTGTTTTTTGTAACCCGTTTGTTTAATATAAGAGAGTTACTCATTTTAAGGCATTTTAAACGCGTCACCAAACACGATCTGTTCAAACCGGCCCTTTTAATTGTGCCTTTATGTATTACAGCAGCCTACCTACAGTAATAATATAACAATAAGTTAATTTCCTACAACAGTAACAGTAACCTGTTAATCTTGTTCTGAATACAGCCTTCTCAAAAAAGGAACAAACAACAATAATAACAATCAAGATGTAAATCATTGTGATGTACCTAATTGTATCTTTATTGTTTGTATTTTTATATCCTAAATATAATCGTGCGTTTGTTTATTAATGAATAATGAGGTACTAAAGTTGTTAAATACATTAATTAATTGTCTTCTATATGAACCCTATTAGGGTGTTGCAAATTACATATATAATCATCATTACAGATAATTAATTACATGGTAAAATTTAGTGGAAGATAATCACAATCTGTAAAATATAAATAAGATTTTATTTCAAAAGTACATAACATTTTAAAATTATAATAAAGTAAAATTTAGCTTTCAATTGAAATCCATTATTCGTTTCGTCTTTATAACGGAAAAATTCTTGCAATATATTAAAACACTTTACATTTAGAAACCATTTTAATTTGATGATGATAATTGATCCTTTTTCTTGTTTTTAATATGTTTTAGTGTTTCATTGTAAATAAGTATCGACATGGCATCATTACATGGCATTATCTCTTGACATTTTAAATAGGCAACCAATTGCCATAAATTTTGGCGTACACGTGGATTTTGGAATGAGGAATGACATAGATATAAATAATACATGACATAAATACACACTCTTCATCCAAACGAACTTGTAATTAAAAACCAATTTTTGATAAAAATTTAAAGAATTAAGAAAAAGCATATTGAAACCTGAATATTAATTTTTAGCAATAGGTGTATAATTTGAAGTATTAAATATTTTTGAAGATTCTTTATAAGTAAAGAGTTACATTATCTTCATTTATTATATTTCCTCTCTTTTCCTAACAAAAAGATATATTGTGCATGACGCACCTCTGTAGTTACCTTTTTAATTTTCTTGAAACAAAGTATTTTTTGTAACTTGAGGCAATTGTCATGTTTTATTTGTTCACTTCTTTTCTTTTTCTTTTTTCTGCTTTGTAAAGACACCTTTGTAAAGACACTTTGTTTTCATAACAGCTTAAAATTTTTTCGCACGCATGTATTTTAAAATATACACTATCTATACCAAATTGGCAACATACAGCTGAAACTATAATGTAAAGTGAAATATTAAAATATTTGTTACGTAAGTCAAATATCTATTATATTTGACTTCGTTTAATCAGATTAACTGATTTAAAATCCTAGATCATCAAACCTAAATATTTATCTTAATTTATAGATACAACATCGCAGAACACAGCTTCATTAGCATTACATACTTAACATAAAATGTAACAAAAAGTGTGAGTAATAAAATAACTACTGCTATTAATTCGTAGGAAATACCTAGGTATCTATTCATTAATTGAATTGCGTTTGACGTTACATTTGCTCACGACAATCGCGACGGCATTGTTAGTACGTGAACCGAATTTTAAGTAATTTAAAGTACGTAGTCAGGCACATAAATAATTTGCAATTGATCGAGTCTTGAATGTTGAATAATTATGGTACTTTATAAAAAAAAAAACGAAGATATATTATCAGTTTTAGTTTAAGTGGCGTAAGCTGTGGAGCAAATAGTAATATATGTACTATTTGGTCCACAGCTTACGCCACTTATGTGCTTTCTTTACTAGTTCCAATATAGATATTTTAATAAGAGGTATTACAAATTATGACAATTATTGCTCATTTCTTTTTATAAACCTTTTGACGCTCTAGATTTTATACTTGATTTTATTTATAAGTTGATAAAATGAAAATAATGTTTCCCAACCTAAGGAACACGTTCGCTGTTTGTTCACGCTAATTTCAGATATCGCTCATCTGTTTTTACGAAATTTTGTAAATGTGTATTATTTACTCCAACTTGAGAAATAGGCTGAATCCAATAGGTGGTAGTACGGAGCAAAACGATGTTTGTTAGTTTAGCAAGTTATTTTATATATTGTCTTCAAAGATTAAGATAGCAAAAACATTTTACTGCGCATAAACAAATAATGTCTTCATTCATGACAAAACACATCTATAAATTATGAATGTTTCGTAGACACACTAGATACATTGAAAATATATAAATTTTAATTTGTACACAGAATCATGAGTCCTCAAGTATTCAATATAGATTTTGCTTCGCAATGTAAACACTTTTTGTTTAGTAAAACAGCACTTCAATCATCACAAAATCATTGTCGAACTATCAGAATCGATTCAGAATTGGTATTGCTATCGCTTAATATTGCAATTTTTTTTCACAAAAATTCAATGATCTCCGTAGTGCAATGGTGAGCATGGTGCTTTGCATAAATGTGATCTCAGGTTCGATTGCCAGTCGCACCAATTTAGGCAACAAACTTTTCTGCATTGTCCTGAGTCTGGAATAACGCTAAATGTTCTTTGCCTAGTTCCTCATAACACCATATCCTAATTTGAGAACCAGGCAATGAGTGTAATTGACAATTAGTATTATTTTTATTATTAACGAAAAAAGCAATTTTTTTTATACCACAAGTGGCAAACAAGCATACAGCCCACCTGATGGTAAGCGATTACCGTAGCCTATGAACGCCTGCAATACCAAATATATTACGCGCGTTGCCGATTTAAGATCTTCTTCATTTAAAATTTACTAAAACATGTTTTTTTAATTCAACAGCTCCATATATTCAAACATGCCACATAGATGACAAAGAAATATCAAAATGCATCAAAGAGCAAATAGAAGCCAGTCTCCCATACTTTACTAAAGGAGTGCCCGAACTGAACGTGCCTTCAATAGATCCTGTGCAATTGAATGACATCAAAATAGACGGAAATGGACTTCTTTTAAAGTTTACTAATGCTGAAATGCACGGGCTCAGTGAAAGTAAGCTTACAGATTTAATGTAAGTATCACTTTAATATTAATTTTTATACCACAATTGTTGCGATCAATAGCTACAATGAATGCCTGCATAAAAGATATTAAATGCACTTTTCTGATCCCCTATAATCCTCTAGGAGTTCTAATATCTACTAATCTTAGAAATATAACTATAGTGAACTTTTTTATTCATTTTATCAGACTCTTTGGAACATAAAAGAGTAATATATCAAATCTGTTAGTTTGTTTGTTACCTTTTACCGCCATAACAGCTCAGCTGATCTGCATAAAATTTGATATACAGACAATAGTCGGTATCTACATATTCCAGTCAAGCGGACTATTTAGAAAGAAGAATTATTTGTTATTATTTTTTTTTGTCTATAATGGATAAACTCAAAAAATACTTAACATTTTAGAAATTCTCTCACCTATAAAAAGCTATATTATTATCGATTAACGTAGACTGTATTTTATTTAAAAAAAAAAAAAGTGCGATGCCGGGATGTTCCTCTAGTCAATACCGGTTGACTGCTAGAAAATACTACTCTCAATAAATCCGCCTTTTGTAAATTTTTTTTTGCCAATAAAGTTATTTAAATGGATAAATAAATATAAGCATAAATAATATTATACACTAGCATTCACTAAATTCTATTAACCTGTGTTATGTTTCGATTTGAAGAATGGGATATAACAATGAAATTACAGGGTGCAGAGGCATAACATTTTAGTCCTCAGGAATGGTAACATGTGAAAGGTATCATGGGCGACACACTATACTCTGTTATGTCTATATATGGTACTGTTCATGTCTATAGTGACTGACCACTGATGACCACTTTCCATCAGATGGGCCGTCAGCTTGTTTGCTATTCTAAGTTGCATATTAAAAAAAAAGAAAATAAAAACCTACTATATCGAGTCTAGTGATAATAAATACATAATGTACTCATATATCCAAAAGAATTTAAAAAAGAGGTTTTCCATTCGACTGTATAATTATGGGTAGATATGTTACGCAATACTTCAATCCAAAATAATCTATTTTAATCGAAGTTGATTGCTTTTGTGTTAATGCTGTAACAGTTTTGGTAAGATTGAAGGTTTTAATAAGGTAACCTTGGAAATATATAACCTTGGAATTTCATCATCCCGGTACTAAGATATGAATCTATTAAGTATAAACAATAAGAGTTAATTCATTCCGCAACATGACAACAATGTATTTCAATAAATTATTACCTGTAACTAATAGGTTTTAGCAATTAGCTTAACTCTGAACCCGTGTATACTTACTGATCATTAATATTACCGACTAGGTATTATGTGCAACTATTAAATGAATTGCACATCAAAACATTATTTTATTGTGATGCAGATTAATTTTATTCTTTAATCCATAGATTTAAATATGGTTATAATACCTACTTAATATATAAAAATCCCATGTCACAATGGTCATTTAAGCTAATCTTTTACACCGCTGAAATTTTATAAATGTTTTGTTATTTCCTACTTGAAAGAAAGGATAATTTTATCCTGATGAAGATTACTTTTTTACCTGATTAAGGTTACATATTTAATGATAACCCGTTAGATGGCGGTAGCGAGCAAAACAATGTTTGCCGGATTGACTATAATAGTGTAGCAAAAAATAAATATTTAAAGATATACAGTTAATATTTAAAAATATATAGATAATTTAGTGATGTAGATTTCCACAATAAGTTATTAAGTATTTACGAGTGTTGTTCTTAATGATAGAAACTACAAATATTTCTTTTCATCCAGCATGCTTTTCGATGTTATCAAATTGGAAATAGGTGAAATAAACATCAAAAAGTATAGTACCCGTAGTACAGTATAAAGAACTAGACTCCTTAGACTGTGATATACAACAACAGTAACGATATAAATTCGATTTGATTTCAATTTTATTACAACAAAAATCAGTCAGCCTACAAATTCTCAAACTAGGACGGCTTATTTTGTGAAAATGCGTAATAAATATTTAAACGTATTACTTAGAACAATAGGCTGAGGACAATTTAGAGAAATTTATTTCCTTGATTCCCAAAACTGGCGGAACTGAAAAACAACGTTTACTTATGCAAAACATTGCTTACCGCTGCCCTAAAGAAATCGATAAGCCTTAAAATACTCTTCTATAAATCATTAAATTATTAATATGCAATAGAATACATAATATGTAATAGTAACCATATTCAATAAAATTTATAATATTAATCTAAAAGTCCATCTTAAATAATACTAAACTTTCAACGTCTTCAACTGACTTGAAAAAAAGGTAGAGGATCTCAATTCGGTTAAACTTTTTTATTATGTTTGTTACCTACAAACTCTGTCATTTATAAACCGATTTGAAAATTCTTTATTTATATTAAACTTTGAATGAATGAATGAATGAGTATACTTTATTTGCATTATACAATATAGGAAATAAGCAAGACAATTTACAAACACAACAATACAATTGTATTAGAACAGTAAGGCGGTCTTATTGCTGAGAGTAATCTTTTCATGACAACCTTAAGGTAATGGACCAACCTTAGGGAATGTTGCACAAGTTATCTTTGCTTATAGATAATCATCTTAGAAATTTTGTCAAAATCAATTCAATGGTTTGATTTTTAAATCAACATTAAAAAAAACTGGTTTTGCCGCGATTGAAATTGATATATTTTTTCGGGATGGATGTGGAAAATCTACTTGTGTCCTATTAATGAGAATATCCTAGTAGTATAATCGTAGAATTATAGTTCAACAAGTAAATATGTATATTAAGTTTTTACCATTTTAATCTACTCTTTTGATCGCAGTCTATTATATAAATAGGTTAGGTTCAAAAGAGCACGTTTGAAGTAGTAAGAACAATATACCTATTTAAGTACCTACGTAATTAAATATTTGTAGCATATTGTGTTTATCATGATTTATATGGAATTTTATTATCTGATCTTTGCTTACAAACAATATGTAGGTCTATAGGTGATGAACTAAACATAATGATACTAACCTAGAGATTTTACTCATAGATAACTTAAACGCGTCATTGACAAAGACTTTGAACTTTACAATGGGTAAATGATCTAAACAAGTGTTAATTATTAGAAAAATATGTGCTTGCATGCAGTTATTTACAAAAGTAGGTACTCTTTGTTAAGTATGCTACTTATCCGGGAAATGGTTTTACACTTATAAACAACTGTTTTAAATACATAAATCCTAATAACAACAAAGTTGATGATGTTGTTGTGTTACATTACCTCTTTGGTATCTATTTTTTTTTTTCTTTTACTGCATTTAAGTGAATCTTAGTAAAATATCTCAGATTCTCAGAATATTTAATATTTCTTAATAAATATAGATATAAATATTATATATATATATATTCATTACTGATCATACACGCTCCTATAAATCAGATTATCGTTTATTAAGATTTATCGTAGCGCGTATAGGCTGGGATTACCAGATATTTATCTTACCTTTCGTGTCAATAAATCAATCTTTTTGTGTTACCTATGGCATAAGCAACAATTTATGATAAATATACAATAATGAAGTCTGTTCTGATAAACCATATTAACAAAATAAGATAATTATTACTTAATCCTACTACTGGAAAAGTAACAAACATCCATCTATACGAGTATATCCTCGCATATATCACAAACTTGAGCGTTTATAATAGTATCAATGCAAAAGTTTGCGAGGATGTACGAATGAATGTTGAATCTTTCACGCCTAAATGGCTGAATAAAATTAAATTAAATTTAGTTCATAGCTAAGTTATATCCTAACTATTCTATATATAACCTACCTATGAATCAAATTTCATATACTGATTCACGTGGACGAAGCTACGCTAAAACATACATAAATGTGAATGTTGTGTTTATTTGTTACTTTTTGGCATTTTGACGACTGTACCAATCGTAATGAATTTTGTATTACACGTACTATTTTAGATAGAGTAGGACATAATAGTAGTAGATGTATAGACTACATCTTATCTTGGTCAATCAATGTCTCAGTCAAATTCGAAGGTAAATACTAATTAAACATTAATGATCAAATACTTAAAAATTTCAATATTAGTTCCAATAATTTGTCTAAGCAATAGACAGCGATTCAATCAGTAAATAATGTACGCTTAATTTAAACAAAAATTTGGTTAAAGACTTACCTATCACGGAAAATATTTATACCTAGTTCTATAAATGTTATACTAGAAGGTAAATCTTTAATATTTGGTTAAAAATATTCATAGGACATTGGACTACTTGTAGGCAGAGGTCTTTTTCATACCTATAAGTACTACATATCTATGGGTAGTTCTTGTACCTACCATAACATGTCATCTTTTGAAGTACGAAATCCAAGGTTTGTTGTCAATGCATACTTATATCTAATAGAACAATCAATATAAATATTTATTGTTTTTTTTATTCCTATAATAGGTACCTAAATCGAAGGCCAATGCTAGAATTGACAATTTGAAGTTAATTTATTTTCATTAATATCTTAAACATAAGTAGTTATATCGTTATATCAGTCATATAAAGAATCGCTGTTTAAAAAATTATTACCGCAGAAACTACACAGTACCTCAGTATTACTAACAAATCATCTCAATCTGAGAAGTTAGAAACTACAAACTCTCTATAAACAACTATCCTGACGGTAGGAAGAGCAAATACTCTAAAGTTTGCGGTCACATCACTATACCTATTATTATATTGAATACTAGATTTTCCCACAAGTTCATCTGCATGATCAGGATAAAAGCCTATGTCCTTCTTCATTCCAAATGTTACGAATATACTAAATTCTCTTAAAAATAAGTCGAGTCGTTAAAATGTAAACACGTTAAAAAACAAAATAAAGCTCACCTTCTCATTTATAATATTAGTAAAAGTTGGCTAATGTTTCTCTTTTTCACCTTAATATGTACTCTAATAATAATAAACAATAAATCAGGTTACTAGGGCTCAAATAAGAACACAGCCCGCCTGAGGATTAGTCATATTCATCGGTATTACACAGGAATAACAATTTCATCTATATAGTTAGGTTACAAACTAAGTAATAGTTCAATTTCATACTTATCCCTCACGGGTACCAGTATAGTAACGTATACCAATAGCGCAGATAGTTATCATTTCATTATTATCCATTACAACAGCTAATTAAAGTTAATTTCTTCTCAGAGTCAACGTCGGAACTGTAGATCAGGAATTCAGATTAACATTCAAAGGAAATTTGAATTTAACAGCATTGTACGAAGTACAAGGACGTATCCTTATTCTGCCAATCGAAGGAAACGGAGACGCTGTAGTAACCGCGCGTAAGTTTTACAAAAAAAATATTTTAAGTGGTCTATTTTAGGCCTACATAAACATAGTACACATTTCTATTATTTTAAAGTGACTTCAAAAGAGGTTAAAGTTAACTTTTATTTTTTTTGTCTCTGTTTTGCATGTCTGCTTGTTATGTTGTACACAATGTCTGTCCATTCAATTTTCATTCTTATTCTTCGTATTCTTTTTATAGGGACTATTCATTTTTCTATCATATTGGCTCAAATTGTTATATTATTTCAGAGAGGATACAATACGAGAGAACTAGGAATGTCATCCTTCATAAATAAAAATACGAGTACCTTTTCGATTGAGTTGCCATTTCTGAGTCAATTTTATTTTCTAATTTTCTTTATTAATTATTAAATACATAATTATTATGATAAATATATAATTTTCTTTGCAATTAATAGAATTCACTTTCATTGATTTCATATTAATTTTGTAACTTTGTCTTTCTTTGAGGAACAAATTTAAAATTGCAAAACAAACACGATTCCTCGTTCTAATTTCAAATATTTTCGGTATGTGCTGTCACAACTGAAGTTTCTGTTCTTTTGCGTAGTAAGATGTACTAAGCGATTACTTACTCTGTGATTCGTTGATGTTTCGTTTTATATATTGGTGATTTCATTTAAATTTTCAGAGGGCGTGGAAGTTGAAATTAATAGTAAATTAACCCAAGTGAAGGACGCCAAGGGTCAAGAACACTTTAAACTAATCACGCCTACCTATAAATATACCATAGAAAAAACAACTTTTGACTTGAAAAACTTGTTCAACGGTAACAAACAGTTAGGTGAGTACTTAATATGGATAATTTTATTTCCTAATATAGATAATTTAAAAAATTGATTAGTGTGGTTTTCACTAAGTTTGGAGTGAAAATTACTTAACATTAATAAATGCTTAAGTAGCTACAACGAATTTCTATTTTTAGAAATCCATGTCATAAATTTATGCCATAAAAATAGATACATGCATATAAAAAGATCTAAAAATAAAAAACATGTTCCTATTAAATAAAAAAAAACTGGTAAAAATATCGCGAAATATGTACAAAGAAACATGCCTACAGTACAAATCAAGTCTTCCTTTCATAGGGTAATTAAAAAAGAATCTAATATTTTTTTTCAGCTGAAACAACTCTTCAGTTCGCGAATGACAATTGGCAGCAACTGATGGACGATCTCGCGCCACCCGCAATTAAGCAGATCGTGCGAACCTGCGTCAAAGCCATCAATAAATTCTTCTCCAATGTGACAATTTCTAGAATAATTAGAGGTTATAAACCCATTTAATTTCGTCCGTCGTGATATTCAAATAAATTTCCAGCGTTTCGTTATCTTATAGATATATAGGTGCCTATTTAATAGTATGATATTTCTATGATACAAACAACTCGTCGAATTTCTACCAGTCAATAAAAATAAATATATAATTAATTTATATTAAGCATTATATAGGTAGTAACAGTCTACCTCAAGTGCCATGAAGTGCAATTGTTGTGATTGTGATAATGCATAACTGGTATAATTAAGCTTTTTAATAATTTTTGCTATCAGAGGTGTCGAGACTTAAAATATACATTAAAAAGTTCGGTAACAAATACCTGTAAATGTCACAAAAGTATAGATAGAAAAAATAGTAATTAACTATTAATTTTTTTTTTGGAAGATTTTTTCCAAAAACAATATTCTGTGTAGGAATAATATTTCTAATTAGAGCTATGAGCCGCTATTTAAATATATATAACATTTATTTCATAGGAAATAACAAGAGCGATTCCCATCACTCGCGCAGGATATGTCATATCGTATTTTTTTATAAAGTACAGTTAATGTTTATTTATAATTATACACGTGTGATATGAAATAAAAATATTCTTTAATTTTAAATATATTTTTATTTGGAAACTTTACCGTATTGAAATTACACATGGTATGAATAAAAGTATTCAATAACTCCTTTTACTAAACTAGACGTTATTTTGCGGAAATGCATGTCACTGCTTGGTTGATTAAAATTAGTTTGTTTAAATCCGGTACCATTAGTAATAATAACCGCAATTGATCTTCAAATGTTAGCAGTCGCACGCATACTGATTGTAGCGGAATTAAACAAAATTATTTTTATAAACTAACGAATCCTTTACTAGCATGTAACTTTGAAATATCTAAAATTATAAAGCGTGATAGATAACAATTTACACAAATAAAAACCTAATATAATTTAATAAACTACTGACTGAGCCTTGCTTTGCACGGCGTTTTTTTTTTTTTTTTTTTTAATTAAAACACAGCCAACGTTTCATGCTAATAATGTAGTTTTGTATATAGGTGAAAGAATTTTTAAAATCGGTTTAGTATATTTTTAATTTGCCCATAACAAATAAGATTAAATGTATTTATTTTATTAGACCTATATTTTAGATAATTCTTAATCAGTAGTTACATATGCGTACATAATTAATAATTTTATTTCTATATATTGTTCATAATTGTTTTCATAAAATGGAATAAAAAAATGAAAAACCTAAGCATTAACGAGGACTAAGGACGAGGTTGAGCAACAGGGCTAATAACATCGAATTGAACAATATCCTGAGTTGATGATGATGTCGATGTAACCGATGACCTGTCATCTTGGATTTGCATATTCGCTACACTTCTACGACCAGGAAAATTTATTGACAAGTTTGGAATTTTCCATCCACGCTTATAACCAACGAATCCGGCCAAAATACCAACCAAAACTAGAAGTCCAATGACCATTCCTATAATACCTGCTCGGGAGAGTGGTGCAGACTCTGTAAAAGAAATTATTTTATTACTATTATTTTCTTTATGGTACTAAGATAACATTTCAGTAAATTCTTAGTAACAACAAGTGTATATTGCTTCGCAAAGAAAACCGTTTTATTCATGAATACACCGAATGGCATGGCGATCTAAAATCAATTAATCAAAAAATCGATATTTTATACCAAAAAAATTGATTGTTTATTTGATAAATCATAATGCATTAAATCGATAGTTCACCCTAGAAAAATCGAAGTTATATTTTTTCTGTATTATTAAAAACCACACAAAAGGGCTTCATAAGACTTCCTTTTTACCTTTTTGGTACGGACCCCTAAAAATACAGACAAATTGAAAGCCTACTTGTTTTGGAAATCGCTTAAAAGTACGATTTATTTCTTACTAATTTTTATAACAATTTATCAATTTAAAAGGTACTTACTATCAAAGTACACTACAATAACGTCTCTAGCCTCCATCTGACTTTCATTGATAACAGCTGCACATGTCCATTCTCCTAAGTCTTGTGCGTGTACTGGATTTATCGTTAGTGAACAATCTCCATAATCCAGATGTCGCTCTGGTGTAAAGTAGTAACGTTGTAATATTGCACTAAAATTAATAACATTTATTAATAAAAAATAACTATGCATTTATTACCAAAAAATAACAGATCAGACATATTACTTAAAGTTATACTATTAAAAGATTGTATTACCATCAGCTCCCAATCTAGGTTAAACCTGTATCTTAAGAACTAGTAATAACTGGAGTAACTCGACAATTATACAAATAATCGTATGCCTTCAATCTCGAGAAACGTAAACAAAAATTTAAACTCAGTCATAGCGTGTTTGACAATAAACAATATTTACAGAGTGCTACGTTAACAGTACAATTATAAAACCCAATCTTAGTTATATTACAGTATATCAAACAGTACCACGATTATATCAACTCGACCTGCACGATCCCCCTTCCTTCTTTCCGCCAAATTCAAATTAACTTATATTTTTAAATGCCGTAAAAAGTCCACTGCTGGATATAAGCCTCTCCCATAAGGAGGGTGTTGCCAATAGTTGCCATGCTTAATAGGCGGATTAGCAACCGCAGTTAGGCTTCGGTGATGTTTTAAGAGGGACGCTGATACCCATCTCTCGACCATTAATTCCCTTAATCTTACAACTCCCACGGGACAGATAGGGAATTTGAATTTCAAGCGTGTAGTCTCTTCTCTATCAAGATGAATTAATCACTATGGACACACTGTCCTGATTTCATTCTCATCTATCAACCCTCACTGTATAGTGATAGCGCAGGCAGATTTAACATTTCAATTTCATGTATTTAATAAAAATCGTAAATGTGTTGTGAGGAAATAGTTGATACAGGTGGCTTAAGACCGTTCTATAATTCCGGAATTCATGGAAGACGGTCCAGCAAAGGTCAATAAACGGGTAAAATAGTAATGATGACTTGTACTTACTTTTCTTGCGTTACACTCGAATCTATTGTAATACCTAGGTTTCTTGGTGATAGGAATCGGCAATAATTCAAAGGTTTGTTCCCATTTGACGTATGACAATACAGTGTAGCCTCTCCGCCGATATTAGCAGGAACTTCGACTACGTTGGCTGCAAGTGGACCAGTAACGCGAACGGTTACTTGATCTGTCAATTCTATACCCGAGTGAGTTGTAGGGCCCATGTGACAGGTCCACTGTCCGGCGTCCTCTTTCTTGACGTGCGTAAATGTAATTCCACATTCACCAGTCTGAAGACTCTCTCCTGTATACCTTTTAAAATGTATTCGTAAGTAGGTATATTAATTATGCGACATGATAGTGATCTAACTATATGGTAAAAAAATCCTAATAATATTATCATGATTTTCCAAGTGCGTCTGTCGAAAGAAATAGATACCTAATTTAATTACTGCTGTCTTATCTACAAACATTTTGTTATGATGGATAAGAAAATTTATTATCTAATATATAAAATTCTCGTGTCACGGTGTTTGTTACCAAACTCCTCCGAAACGGCTTTACCGATTTTCATAAAATTTTGTGTGCATATTCGGTAGATCTAAAAATTTTTTTTATATTTTTTGACAACATTTTTAATTGTGTTTTAAATATGATTTAACATTGAAAAATACATACAACTTTAAATTTTCTACGTTTTACGATCAACCCCTGTATTTTAATCGCGATTTTTATATTTCGCAATAAGTGGTAAAACAACGTTTACGGGGTCAGCTAGTCTATGGTAATATATAAAATTCTCGTGTCACGGTGTTTGTTACCAAACTCCTCCGAAACGGCATTACCGATTTTCATGAAATTTTGTGTCCATATTCGGTAAGTCTGAGAATCGGCCAACATCTATTTTTTATACCCCACAATGATAAGGGTGACTCACCACTAAAAATTTTTTTTATATTTTTTTGACAAAATTTTTAATTAAATATGATTTAGCATTGAAAAATACATACAACTTTAAATTTTCACCCTTTTACGATCAACCCCTGTTTTTTAAGCGCGATTTTTATATTCCGCAATAGGGTTTCAAGATGGCAATCAAATATAATTATCATGAATAGTTTATAATTACAATTTGCTTATATTATATCTTATTTCTTAATTTGAATTAATCATCAACCCTCACCGGTCGATAATTGATCAAGTACCAATCGATCAGTTACATTACGGAGTAGGGATGAGGACGAAGCCGGCCTTTCTCTTACTCTCTTTACAGTTTTCGTCCATTTTTTTTTGTTTTTTATTTGTCTCAATCGTAGCGGTGACTGTTATACATCATTATATCACTTTAACTTTTCAGTGTAACTCTCATGTTAATTTTATTCTGATAGTGAATTTGTTATTACTTTTAAGTTGCTATTAAGTAGTCATTGGTATTTTAGACAAGGTGTGTCCGCATTGTCATGCACTTAAATTTAAAAATAAGCCAGTCGGGATGTGTTGCTCATCAGGAAAATTAAACTAACGGAAATTGAAACACCATCTGAACCATTGCACGGCTTACTTATCGGCATGGATCCAAATTCTATTCTGTGTAAACAATGCTGAATAGGAGCTCGCTGTTCATGGGCCAGCGGGACGTCCGGGACTTCACTTTGGCTAGATCGTCACGCGGAATGTTTGTCGGTATTTTTGAATTCGTTTGTTCATTAACAGTTTGTTATATACAAGTAAAGTTGATTTGGTCAATACGCAGACTTTTAGTTTTATTAAATTTTCACATTTATTAGAAACGTTATCGAAGCCAGCATTTTGAATGGCAAGTTCAGAAGCGAAAATGTATTGCTACCCTATGATCCCTACCCTACCCTATGAATCCCTATGATTCCTACAGATGTGCCAATTGAATTCAAACGCATTCAATTCCCAATTAGATTAGCATTGGTAATGACGATCAACAAGTCACAAGGCCAAACATTGTCTGTGGCGTAGATTTGGGTACACCATGCTTTTCCCAAGGACAACTACACGTGACATGTTCTCGCGTGAGGAAACCATCCAGATTGTTTGTATTGGCTAAAAACGCACTGACCAAAAATATTGTATACTCCATTGCGCTGAGAGATTAATCTTGGTTTATTTTTTAATTGCCATAATTATTAGTAGAAATATAAAAAAAACTATTATCGATGTATCGATAGCTATCAAGAATTGTAATTTAATATGTATTTGTTATTTTGAATAATTTATTAACTTAAATAAGTATACTTTAATTGCCTGCAATGCTTCATTCCTCTTTCAATCATAATTAAATCCTAACACACTTATAGTGTTAGCTATTTTTGATTGAACTAAAAAAAACTATTTTCTAGAAATAATGTATATGGCAAAACAACGTTTGCGGGATCAGCTAGTAATATATAATATATTTGTATCTTTTATTTGTTATTAACTTTAATCGTTGGATTATAATTATTTAATTAGATATAAGATAGATATAACATTGATAAATAAACTTATTTGCAACTATATGTAGTGTGTATTGAAATCAAAGGGGCGATTATTATACATATCTATTAAATTTTCTATACTGGCCTCCTGGACAAGTGGCAAACGAATTCGTCGATGGAACCATTATCACAAGCGAGTCCATGAGTTAGAATGATACAACGAATGTTTATCGCTAGCGAGTTCATAAGAATGATCAAAGGTTCCATCGATGGATTCGCTTGCAACTTATCTAGAAGACCAAAATACCTATTACAAGTATTTGAAATAGATCCTTTTTTTTAATATAGAGTTATTTGTAAGCAATACAACAATTACTTAGAGAGCGTTGTGGCCGTTATGAATAACAAACTAATTACGGATAGCAAAGGTCGTAAGTTCAAATCTGGCCGGCGTGTACTAAAGACGTTTTGGGTTTTTATTTTTTTTTTATGCTACTTAGAATGGCAAACAAACTGACCACCTACCTAATGAAAAATGGTAACCGTCGCCTATAGACATGGGCAGTACCATGGTCTACTGTACCATGGACTACTAGTAACTGAGTATACTATTTCACCCATGATACCCTCCATGCGTTTTCTCTGTACCCTGTAAATTCACTGCTATATCCCACCCTTCAAACCGAAACACAACCATGCAAACACAACTGCCTCACATTACAAACACGAATGGGACAGAGGCGCCCAAGCAAACGACTTTTGTACAAAGTCTCCTTCTTGTAAATACCTAACTAAATCTCTGAAGATGGAAAATACCGATAAAAACTGAATTAATCCCATTGACACTAGTAGGCTCGCACTCTGCTATACTGTATTCTATTACACTCAGAATGTGCTCTAGTATTACATTCACCACAACAACAGCGAGCAAATGTTTCTGACTACTCTTTTCGAAGACATATCAGTTCCGTTGCTAGCAATATACTCTATCAAGTCAACCTCCACGGGAAACCATCTTGATTAATTCATGTGAAATTCATCAAGATGGAATAATTGACCTGTTTTCATCCTTATCTATCATCCCCTCACCGGTATTCCACTAGTATATGTTGATAGTTCAGGCGAGATTACCATTTATTATCATCTACTTAAAAAAATATTTAGATAATAGAGAAAATTTAATTATTATTATAAATGTCTATAATTATATAGATATATAATATTTATTTATATATTTAACTCTTTACTACACCATAAACAAAAATATACAATGACAAGTGAATAATTCAAGTGAAATATAGTAACATAATAAATACAAAATAGATTGAAATATACACATAAAGGTACAAAAAGCGGTCTTATCGCTAGGGCAATCTCTTACAGACAACCTTTAAAATATCAAATACATATATCTTATTAAACTACTTAATATAACATATATATATATATATATATATATATATATATATATATATATATATATATATATATATATATATATATATATACAAAATACATAAACATATACATACAATATAAATATTGAACTTATATATTTTATAAAATATTTTATAATTTATATGTACTTACCAAAATAGCTGATCCTCATTATTTGTAGGTAGTTGTGGCAATGGTGTAAACTGCGAACCGTTGGGGTGTTGGAACCAGCAATATGCGAGTGAAATATTGGATTGGCAACTTATGGAAAAAGTCATGTTTTCTTGTACAAATATAACTCGTTCCTCAATGCCATCAAAGTTAGTGTTTCGTTTGATCGTCGTTTCTAAAAAATAATAAAAATAATTGTAATAATATACTTTTTCAAGACACTTGTAAATTTTACTTTTGGTATTAGTTTAATCGCTGTATTATGACTTTAAATATCGATTGATATATTATTTTGAAAATTTTACATATAGAATTACAGTGAAATACAAATATAGTAATACCTAAATAATAGTATGACTCTAATTTTCTTATATAAAAATTATTATTTCATATTTTATATGTATTATATATGTATTGTTTTATTCTTATAAGATATAGAAGATATCTAAACATCTTCTGTTCTGATTTGTCAAAATTAAAGTTAGGTAGTCCCTTACCACCAGGTAAACTGTTAATAAAATGAAAAACTCATTGTAAAAACCAAAACCCTACTACTATTATAAATGCTAAAGTTTGTAAGTATAGATGGATGTATATTATGCAAAAACTACGGAATATATTTAAATGAACATTTGTGGTATAGGTATTGTAACTTAAAATATAGAATACATAATGATTTACGCGGGCAAAGTCGTATAAATCAGCTATTTTAAAATAATATAATATAGCAATAATTACTTATACACAAAGTGAAATCACGATTATTAGCATCCATTGGAAACATGATTCGAAAATCTTCCATATTAACTTGAAATCGGTAAGCCCTATTAATACACGAGATTACATTTTTTGAAGTACTTTTCATGTTCCTTTTGAAAAAAAAAATTGTACTATTAACATTGCAATATTTTATATCAATTTCATTGATAAAAAGATACCAAAGATATCAACAATTTCACTCAGTTAATAATTAATAAGTATAGATGTTAAAAATATGTAAGTAACGCGATTTACAGATTTTTATAATTTTATGTGAAAAAATACAAACAATAAACTCACGGCCTGACAATTGAGGTACACTAATCAACGCCTGCAATGGAGTCTGATCCTTAGTATGTGTACCCACCCACTGTTTTACTCCTACTGAACAACGCCACGTAGTATAATCATCCGGTGTAGGATTTTCTAAAGTTATGCCGCAATGTTTTTCAGCAAAACCATTACCATAGTAACTGTAAATATAAATAAAAAATATTACCTCATAAATCGCGCCTTCTCTCTCCAGTAAAAGGTAACTAATAGAAAATACAGTCAAAAACATATTTAATGCTTAAACCAAGTGATGATGAGATAACCATGTAATAAAACTTTAAGAAAAATTAAAAAAAATAATCATAAAGTAAATTAAAAAAAGTATTTGAGATCAATATTTTAAATAATTGATAATTTTCTATAATCTCGAATGTTTTAATTATTTTTTAAGTTCTTCCTTTTAGAGACACTACTAATAAAATAATTATCTTCCTCTTTTTTTAACTAAATTCGGTTTGCTTAACAAAATTTTTGTCGATATGTCTTACATTCTATACATATTTCTATAACGATAATAACTATAAGCAAGCATATCGTTGTAGTAGATGTGTTACTGTAAAATCCCCAATATTAGTAAATCTTAGGTTTTACAAGAGCATTTTAGAATTTACCAACCTAAGTTGGTAAATATAAGGATTTTATAAAAAAAAGATGATTTCTTGGTCTTATACCAAACCAAATCTAAGCTAACTTCAGAAAGGTATTTCTGACCACGAAAACTTAGATTTCTTATACAACTTAGAATGACAAACAAGCTGACGGCCTAACTGATGGAAGATGTAACCATCGCCTATAGCCATGACCAGTACAATAGGCATAATAGAGCATACTGTATCGCCCATGATATCCTTCATGTGTTGTGATTCTTAAGGACTAAGGTGTCATGACACTGTACCCAGTAATTTCATTGCCATACCCCACTTTTTAAACCAAAACACAACCTTGCAAATGCTTTCTGGCAGAAACACAAATGGGATAGGGTACCTAAGCAGACGACTGTTGTAAAAGTTTTCTTGTAGTAATTATTATAATTTACCATAATTCGGTTTTTACATAAAATATATAATATTTAGACATGTTTAACGCGTGGTGTTCGTATTTATGGTTAGAAAGGTTGGTTAGATTAGGTTTGGTTTGGTGAAAGCCTCAAAAATTCTATTTTATAAAATCCTTACACTTATCAACACACGTTAGTATATCTTAAAATTTGGTGGTAAAATTTAAGGTTTACCAACGTATGGACTTTTACAGTAATAGGTACGCCATTATACAAAGATGAAAATTCCATTTTCAAAAAGCATAATACAAAGTGCTAGTGACATGTAAATAAATACAATGAACCATCTTCAGGTAACACCATTCCAATTTTAAAACATTCTTGCGACCACCAACTTGCAGGACAAACGTTATAATTATTGCTAATCCTTTTTTACGAAAAAATATTACATATAAATAAAGAAAACTTTATAAATGTTATTATTCACCTGTGACTACCATCACTTATTCCATCCATAATATTGTAACCCGCCTCAGCACCGGTTTTTTGAAATCGACAGAATGTAATATTTTTAATAGTATGGAGAATATTACAGTAAAGGTGAAGTTTCTTAGAGGCAGTATCATGAACATATCCGACATCCAAACGCTCCGCTGTAATAACATAGGAAAAGTTATAGAAATAAATAAGTACACCTTTATAAATTTACTATATTATTAAAATGTATGTAGTATTATTATACTTCAAAAAAATATCCGATATATTACAGAAATGATGTTTGTATCATTAATTTACATCGTTTTAAATAAGTGAAATTGAACATTTTGCCAAAAAGACGTGGTTGAAAAACACATAAAATTGAACTCCTAACACGGTAGTCTAGGAGTCAACTGCCTTTTTTGTCTCAATATAATGATTTTGATTTTATCCTATGTATCCTATTTTCCGCTGATTCTTGAGTGTAATTTAGACGTAGTTCCACCTAAGATAGAAGAAGTAAAATGTGAACGTAACAATGTTTTGTGGGGTGACAGAGGCATAGAACAAATCGACTCATATTATAATGAGTGTCATTCTCATTTCAAACTTCTTAAGTTTCCATCCGAGTTCCATAACTGTGCCGATCAGACTTGTAATGTTATACAACATAGACAGGTCATTGATAAGTTGTATAATGATATAATAAATGTACTAAAGAGAGCGGCTGTAGCTAGTAGAAATAACACACATTGTAAGCGTAAGAAAAAGAAAATTGTAATAGGTTGGAATAAACATGTTAATGAGGCACACAGGAATGCCAGGCAGAAATTTCATGTTTGGTGTGATTATGGTAAACCTAGAGTTGGCTCCATCTATAATGATATGTGTGAGGCTAGAAGATACTTTAAGAAACGTCTAAAGTGGTGTCAAGACCACGAAGAACAAATAAAGATGGATATTCTAGCTTCACATCATTCTAATAATGACTTTCGGTCTTTTTGGAAGGCTACGAGGAAGCTAAGTACAAAGTCTGCCCTTCCTGTGTCTATTGAAGGCGTAAGTAATGCCGATAACATAGCTGATCTTTTTAAGGATCATTTTACTGTTAAATCCCCTTTGGGGCCATCGCGTGCGGAGTTGAATGTTGAGACTGGACGTGTGGTGGAAATTAGATGTACTGCTAGTGAAGTAGATCGAATTATAAAATCTATGAGTAGAGGTAAATCTCCAGGACACGACAGTCTCAGTATTGAACATCTAAAACATGCTGGGCCACACTTGGCGAGACTGTTGGCAATGCTCTTTAACTTTTGTATAAGTCACTCGTACATGCCGGAGGAGATGATTAGAACAGTGGTGATACCTGTAGTTAAGAATAAAATTTCTGATATAACAGACAAAAATAATTATAGGCCAATCTCCTTAGCTACTGTTGTCTCAAAGGTGTTTGATAGCATGCTTAACTCTCGACTGACTCAGCATATAAAACTTCATGACAACCAGTTTGGCTTTCAAACTGGACTGTCAACTGAAAGCGCTGTTCTTTGTGTTAAGCATGCTATTAGATACTATACAAATCGAAAAACGCCAGTCCATGCATGCTTCCTCGACCTGTCGAGAGCTTTTGATCTGGTTTCTTATGACATCTTGTGGAAAAAGCTCGAAAATTTTCAATTACCATCAGAGCTCATAAATATCTGCAAATATTGGTATGGAAATCAGCTCAATAGCGTGCGATGGGCGGGGACTATGTCGCAGTCATACAGTTTGGAGTGTGGTGTGAGGCAAGGAGGGTTGTCTTCGCCGGTACTATTTAATCTGTATATTAATGATCTGATTGTTGCTTTGAGTGGTACCCGTATCGGCTGTCACATAGACGGCATTAATGTTAATAATATAAGTTATGCTGATGACATGGTGCTGCTCAGCGCGTCGATATGTGGGCTTAAAAAACTCGTGGCTATTTGCGAGTCATATGCTGCATGCCACGGACTGATATACAATGCTGTGAAAAGTGTGGTCATGGTCTTTGAGAGCAGAGGCAAAAACTCAATAGGCTTTCCAGATATTAAACTTAAGGGTATAGCGTTGAAGAGGGTGTATAAATTTAAATATTTAGGACATCAATTGGCCTCGGATCTCAAAGATGATGATGACATTGAACGGGAGCGGAGGGCGCTGGCGGTGAGGGCGAATATGATAGCACGCAGGTTTGCACGGTGCTCTAGACAAGTTAAAATTACGTTATTTAGATCACATTGCACATCTTTCTATGCATGCAACCTGTGAGCTGTATATACTCAAAAATCCTACAGCGACCTCCGTATCCAATATAATAACGCGTTCAGGGTGTTGATGGGGCTGCCACGATTCTGCAGCGCGTCAGGGATGTTCGCTGAGCATCGTGTAGATTGTTTTTATGCCACGATGCGAAAAAGGTGTGCATCCCTGGTGCGCAGAGTACGTGCCAGCACCAACAGCATCCTGAGTATGATAGCAAGCAGGCTGGACTGTGTGTACGTTAATCACTGCTGCGCAATTTCCAATGGAATTGTGCAGCGGTGATTATCTGTATACTACTTAATATATTGTATGTGTGTATGTGTGTGTATGTGTATTGTGTATGTAAATTTACTAATATTAGTTTTTTTTTTTTTTTTTTTTTTTTTTTTTTTTTTAAGAATATTGTTACTAATAAATATTTAATGGACCAAAAAGTCTGAAATAAAAATTATTATATTATATATTATTATATTATATATAAGTCTAGAAAAGAAATCTCACTCCTATAAAAAACATATGCCAAAGAACATTTTTGTATGTAGTAGTATACCTACATATAAACAGATGTTTTTAAATTTGTTTATGCAACTTAATTAATTAATTTAATTGTTGCAAAACAAAAATATTTCGAAGTATATTGTTGCAAAATAAAAATTCTGAACGGATTTTCGTAATTGTTTTTGCAACCGATAGGATTGACTCCCATATAACCAATATCAACTACGTAAACTGGTAACATAGTAGCAAAACAATTCAGATTGCCTGTAAATTTTCTTTTATAACGCTTAAAAAATGAAATACAATTTCACCCATAAATTACTATATAATTTCTTTTAATTTAAAAATGGCAAACGAATTAACGTATCTACTGGATATAAAACAGTTACCGTTGCCTATGGACATGAACAATACTTACTTATGACACAGACACCCATGATACCCCTGCGTTGCTATTCTGAGGACTATAGTGTTATTCCTCTACACCCTATAATTTCATTACCATATCCCACTATTTCACGTCAGAAACGTGGATGGGATAAAGGTATCCATGAAGATGTTATTAGAATTTAATTAAAAAAAAGAACTACTCTATAATAAAATATTTGTTAATTTTATTTGTAAAATGCTGCTGGTTTTTTTAAATAAATAAATATAAAATGGGATCATTATACATATAAATACATGGAATATATTTACAGATACTTGGAAAATATGATTTTTATCCATGATTAATAATTATCTACGTATAAGTAGGTACTTATGACATATCATTAAATATAATCCGATAAAATTAGAAAGTAAGGTAGGTAAGTAATTATCACGATGTCTGGTTGAAGCTAGTTATGGCATAATTAAGGATAAGATTAAAGTAATAAAATACTTAGCTATAGAACAAAATAAAACTATACCTTCTACATCAACACGCCGTCCTACGTGCATCTCTGATACCCGACCAGGTATCCCAAGAAGCACATTCCAGTTACCCTGAATAGCTCTAGTAGCCCGATCTATCGTCACACGACAGTGTCCAGACACCAGCGAGCTCTCAGAAAATGGTTGAGTGACAAGACAATAATTATTGTTGAGTGTTGTCAATTCTATCTCTTTGTGTTTTTCGCCGTCAATAATGGATATCGGTGACGCTGGATACGACGATAAATTCTCTGAAATATAATATAATATAATAACATTTCAAATTAAATTATTATATTATTCACCACATTATTATATGGTGTAATAATTAAATATGTCCACGATTATAATCCCTAAGGGAATAGTCGGGAGGGAAGAGATTGTTAGTATTAGGGATCTAACAACTCCGTTGCTAGCATCTGGTCCACCTCAGCATTGCGAGTGATGACATATGGAACCGATACAAGGTCCTACACGATTGCCTGTATGAAAAGGGCAACGATTGGAGTTTCTTTGCATGATATAATCCGAAATAAGGATATCCGCAAAAGAACCAAAGTGGCCGACAAAGGATAAGCAAACTGAAGTAGCAATGAGATGAATACATAGCTCGAAGCCCCCACAAACGACATGGAAGAAAGTTTCTTAAGCGGTGACCCCATATACGAAAACCTAGTGTAGGATGACCACCACTAGATGGAGAGACTACCTTAAATGTTCCGCAGGGAGTCAGTGGATGCAGGGGGCTCAGGGTCGTTCCTCATGGCAGTCTATGGAGAGGCCTATGTTCAGCAGTGGACAGATAACGGCTAATATAATGATGATGATGAATCGCGTAACATAGTCTCACCCTTACTAATATCCTTAGATACTAATATTATAAATGTGAAAGTGAGTTTTTTTGTTATCCTATAGTGCCTTAACTGCTTAACCAATCAGCATGAAATATGAAATACACATACTATAAGAGATGAAAAAGCATATAGGCGCGCGATATATTCATTGCAGTCAGTAAACATATCCCGGTCGCAGGTAAAAGCTAGCGGAATATAATACGGACAATTGATAACATCCTTCTTTTGGAATACACTTATGATAGAAAGTACAAAACGTATCAAGCACAGAACAGAATAGAAATGTTCCTTATTCAAATACAATAAAATAATACAAGCTCTTTTAAATCGCTATTTTTATGGCTCTTTTGCTGGGTTCGGAATGTTGTTATCTGCTAAGAAGATGATGAAAGATGGTAAGGTTGATAGTTAATTTAGTCTACCTACTTAATTGCGCTGTGTATATAGATAAATAGATACGTAAATTAATAGAAGTTAATTCAAAGATATTTTTTTAATATCCAATCAGGCTACTAAAGACCATAACCAAGCTACTCTTTTAAGTATCTGTAATAAATTAAAATACCAAAGTTTCTTTAGAGAAATCATTTAGAGTCGATTTTATGTATACGCGTAAATGTGCCTTAGTGTTATTGTAGACATCAACAGGTAACCAGCTGTTTGCAAACATGCGAATTGTGGTGAATCACCACGCTAGTTCTTCGTGCATACCTATGTGCATACCTTTCATAAAGTCATACAAGTACATTAATATAATCATTATAATTAATTGCGATCGTTGTCGATAATAATAATCGAGTAAACGGATATTATATTTATTGATTAAAATCACTGATAAATTATTATGAGTATTTTGAATATAGGATATAATACAAAGAACTCTGGCAATGCCTGTCACGAAAATGTATATGAAAACTGAATTGGAAATTAAAATTTAATGTACTCTTGAAAACTTACTTAGCTTACTTAATTAAAATTATTTTTATTCTTGTTGGAATACGGTTCTATAAAATGTAGTAACGAATAAACTATTTACTTATTGTATGAATATTTTATCATTATGACGTCAATGTCTTAAAGCTTATTAATTCATGTTTAATTAATTTATATTCAAATAATAATATATGTGTGGCTGTATGATAAGCACAGTAGAAACTTTCGTTCTTGAAGTTCATTAAAAACTTACCCTCTACGTGTATTTCGCTCCATCCTGTAATATTCCTACCCGGTTTGAACGCTGTAAGTCTCCAACGTCCCTCGTCTGAAGCCTCGACATGCCGCACTCTCAAACCACAACCGCCAGTCCATTTCTCGTACCTTGAAAATAAACCATTTTTATGTATAAGTACCATCTACCATTATTCCAGAATAGTGGCCAGTAGAAAAAAATTGCGATACATCGTAAAGCGGAAGATATTAACCTCTTGTTCCATTACTAAAACCACTTAAACAAAATCTTTATTACAATATAAACGGTGAGAGGGATTATTAGTAATAGTATTAGGAATTAATGATCTCATTTCTAACAATATACCTTATTAGCTGGACCACCACGCGGTTTCTTCTGAAAACCATCATAGTTAATTTTTGTTGATTTAATTACGATGAGGGGACTGACCAGACTTCATCCTCATCTATTATCCCTTAATGGTACCCCTTCTAATATACACAGTGACAGCGCAGGTGAGGTTACTATTCCATTAAGCAAATCATAATGTATGTAAGGCACGAGTATAAATGTACGTAAATCTCGATATATTGTGATCTATTTGTTGCAATTTAGTCTACACGGCTTATGCTTGACGGATATATGATGTGTGTTCAGAAATTAACGGAAAGGTTTTAATTTCGCGAGTTTAGAGAGTCTGATTAGTATAATTTTTATTATAATGGTATATGTGCCTCTAAAGTATTATAAAATGTTCAGCTGTATTATTTACTTTATCTGTGACAATCGCTAAGGTTAGACGTGTTTTATAAGCTCAGCGATTTTCATTTGTCAAAAGAAATGGATCAAAGATATAATACTGAGCTTTAGTTTCGACGTCATATCCGTAAACCTATATTCCGTCAATTGTAATAAATAACACGTTTGAGTAATTTTGCATCGTTGTTGACTTTATTTAGTAACTCCTGAGCCACTTCCATTCTCCGCTGTTTTTGTTAAAAATTCAAGAATTTTGAAATAAATTATATTTAAACACATCATTCGAAAAACTTGCGTGGCATGTGTTCTGGTCTCTGACACATCTGCCCTTAGCGCTTACCACGGACAAAGTAATCATACTTCAGGAGCATATACTGATATATAATAAAAAAATTGGCATCCGGACTCTATAAATCCGCGAAATTTAAAAATTCCTGTTATTTTTTGAACACACCTCGTATAATGTATCATTATTGTGCGAGTCCTAAGTTGCATAAGGATTGTATAAAATTAATATGACTACCATAACAGTCAAACACTTGTTGTGAGTCGAATTTACTGTGACCTTGTCACATCTAGTTTCCAGATATTTGTATAAAAAAATATTTAGCGATAGCTATTAGCTAGCTTTTTATCATCATCATCATTTCAGCCATTATCCGTCCACTGCTGGACATAGGCCTCTCCTTAACTGTCATAAGCCACCTGCATCCGCTGACTCCCTGCAATGCATTTGAGGTCGTCACTCCTTCTAGTGGGGGGAGGGAGTCCTACACTACGTTTGCAGTACGAGGTCGCCAGTCAAGAACCTTTCTTCCCCGTCGGTTGTCGGTTCTTCGAGCTATTTGACCAGCCCATTGCCACTTTAGCTTGCTTATCCTTCGGGCTATGTCAGTTACTTTCAGTCTAATGCGGATATCCTCTTTTCAGATTCTATCACGCAAAGAATATCCGAACATAGCCCTCTCCATAGGCCACTGAGTAATTTGAAGCTTTTGCATACGGGCAATCATGTAGGACCATGTTTCGGTTCCATAAGTCATCACTGGCAACACGCACTTTTTTATGCTATTAAATAATTTAGTTTACTGCTCTGTCTAAACTTTTCATTATTGATGCAGTATATGTAATTTATGCATATGGACCATCTATTTCTACAGAAAAATAAAGTATTGCAGTACTGAACCTGACAGGTTATATTCAAAACTATTGGGTATACATATATATATATGAATGTTGTTTAATAATAGTGCTTAGTAAATAATGATAGTAGATAGTATAGACAATTAGGTAAAAATATAAGTACGATTTGTAAATTGACCGCTCTTCTGTTTCCATTTCTCTTATTAAGACCCCTCGAGTCGGTTTTCCAAAAATTTTAAAAAGCACAACAATCGTATTAAAATTCTTATAGGTCTCTACTAAAACTACTGCACCAAATTAGATATAGTTTCCATAAAGTGTTCCTGAAGATTTACCTAACTTAAAATCTAGTAATGTTTTATCTTAATATGCCAGCTAAAAATGATTTATTTTATTAGTTTTCGTACTTCCAAAATCCATGCATACAGAGCCGCGAGCAAAAGCTAGTTGCAAATAAAAACATGATTTGTATCCAAAGATTGTGAGGTTATTACATCACAAATGCAAAGCTTCCTTTGTTTCCTTTGTTTGGCGACAACGAGGCGAGACGAGTATTTTGTAAGCGTCAATTCAACTGAAACCTTAATTTTAAAAATGTCATTACGTCGTTTTATTTCCCCCCTTCTAATACCGGTACATCTGTTTGACTTTCAATCATTGCACAAATGTCCTTAATCAACTCCCATAGTAATGGTGTCAATGTCAATAAGTCCCCATACTTACACTACACTCACTATTAGTAAATCTATTTCATTGTCATTATACAGTGATAATAACAAAATAGAAATAATAATGGCATAGGTACAAAATAAAGATAAGAAAGTATGATCAAGCTATGATATGATTATGCTAGAATCTCAACAAATAAACTGCATTTTACAAATTTCTCCAAAATTACCGTTTCGTGTACAAAATGCAAAAACCTTTTCTTTTTCTTTTACATAGCATTATCGTGCGTAAGGCCTTATATTATAAGGTATATAAATTGAATAATAGAAGCTGCTTTGGCGGAAGTTTGAACAAAATAAAACTTTATTCTTAAATTTTAATGTACGATTAGTATTAAGTGAATGTAGTTTGTTGAAATAAAATATGATGTTCCTAGATATACATAACAAAAAAACACAAAACTGTATATTTTTCACGTAAGTACAAAACACTATAAAAATTTATCTTATTAAATGAAAAATTTTGTACAAGAATTAATAGAAAAAAATATATAATTAAATCCAATTAAAGTTCTGAGCGTCCACACATATAAATCGAAAAAAAAACACGTATTTGTTTATTATATTTTATTATAACAAATACGTGGTTTTTTTTTTTGCTCCTTTTGCAACTTCAATTCCATATAAATTCAGGTCTGATCCATGAATATATTTTCAAAATACATACACTAGTATAATTGTTTTTGTCTCGTTTTTTGATTGCATTGACTGCGTCAGTGCATAATATGATATACTATATCTATGGTCTGAGAATATGGACGGTTTCTTCGTAAAGAAAATTTCCCTTTCTATGAACCATATACATGTACATTACACATTACATACATTACATGTATTTATACGTTATTATCCATTATAGAGTTTTCATTATGAACAAACTAACATTTACTCCAAATATTGTCTCTCGTCGGATTTATTAGACGCAAAAGAAAATTTTCTTAGCGGAAAAAACATCCCTTGTCTGCATAAGGTATTATCTACCTACCTCATGTTAAGAAGTAATAGGCATTGCTTACCTGCTGTTAGGCGGATGTAGTACGTTAAATCTTTCACCAGCCGGAGTTGTAACTTCACACGACTGTTGGTTCTCCAATGTAATGCTTAGCTTCATGAGAGCTTGGTGTCCCTCAACGACAGTCAAAGAGTGTGGCCAGCCTATGCCCTGTTGCATGCTTAATAGATTTTCCACTCGAACGTATTCGCCAATTGTATATTGAAGACATCCTGCCACTGCAGTACAGAAATAGATTTGAAACCAGCATCATTACCAATATGGTCTAATATGGTTAGAATTGGCCTTTCTTAGCGAATGTTTTATAATTTTAATGATGATCGTAGTAATAGATACGTTGCTCTGCATAAATGAAATACAATATTCGATTTTTGATTAGGACAGTTGGGAAACTAACTTTTTTTTCTAAATCGGCTTGAATTTACGTATTATATTCCGCTTCTTTATGTTTGTAGCCCTATTTCTAATTACATGTTAAAATAGTGCATTGTAACTAATTGGTAGGCACAATATAACTAGGTATGTATCTAAGTATAACCATTTATTTATTATTATTATCAACTAAATATATTAATTAGTTACTAACCAAATATGAATAATGCAAAATCCATCTCTATGTAATAACTTGGTATACTTTGCAAGTAGTAAAAGGAAGAGACACACTACATACTTAGACCAATTCTCTATTGATTTAAATTAATTATAATAGATAATTATCGTTTTATATATTATCATGAAATAATATGTATATATATAGGTATACATATATATCTATGTATTGATACAAAAAACGATTTGTCCTTCAGATAAATGTCTAGAACATTGATGGACAAAGTACGGCCCGCAGAGAATTGTCAACTGCGGCCCGCGTACGATTCGAATGTAGACAGCCATCGTCTCTTTTTAAGAATGGGAATACAGGAATATAGGTACGTACATAACTTAAAAATACATATTTAATTTTATTTAATTACATTGCTTTTTCTTGGTAATTCATAGTATTTCACTATAAAATATTATTATTTCTTTATATTATGACATAATATCATAAACTACATGACTTTAAATAAAAAAAAAACAGCAATAATTTTTAAATTTTCCAGACAGAGTTTCCACCGGATTTCAGTTCCGAATAATGGTCTATTTTCACTGTTTCAGTTTTTGCCAACCTGTTCCTTACTTTCTGTATATAAATTGTAAAATTTTGTTAATTTAAATAATATAGGTTGAATATACGTGTACGTGTTCGTTCTATTTCATTAATGTAACTAAATGTTACTTTTTTTTTGGAAGTCGGTTTATTTTTTTAAACTACATCCCGAACAACAATTAGAAATCCAATCAAACTGTTATTATAGAACTATAAGTTAGTATACAAATTTTACTTTAGTATGAGTTTTAGTTTCTATTTTTAACTTTTTATTTTCAGTGATAATACGTTTTATTTATTTATTTCAAATTAGGTATTGTGTAGCATGCTGATATACATACCTATAACAGACGTACACAACGTTGATTACAGTTTACATACTTATAAATGTCATAATATAATTAATATAATAAACTGAATTTATAATTACATATTTTTCGTTACAAAATTCAATACAAATATAAAGCAAGACTAGGCAATACCATCAAACCTACATTGTCTTCAGTACCTTACCGCGAAACACGGCCAACGAGTTATGGCTTACGTCTATATCCGGATCTAAACCGCATATATGATTATACTTATTGCATATTCTTGCAAGCGGAGCACTCCATTGGGTACCTTGCTTGGGTACCTCTGTCCCATTCGTGTTTCAACCGTAAAGCAGTTGTGTTTGCATATCTGTGTTTCGGTTTGAAGGGTGGGATACGGCATGAATTTACTGGGTACAGAGGAATAACACCTGAGTCCTCAAGAATGGCAACGCAGGGGGGGTACTGCTCATGTCTATAGGCGACGGTTACCACTTTCCATCAGGTGAGCCGTCAGCTTGCTTGCCATTCTAAGTTGTATAAAAAAAAACTCCATCCTAAATTAGTTTTGCACAGTGACACATAAATAATCTTATTGATAGGATACCTAGGGATACTGTGAGGAACTACATATTTAATTTCATTCAACAGCTCAGTCCACATCATGATACGTAATCTTATGGAGAAATACCAAATCATGCAGGCGGCGACGATCAGACAGGGTCTGCATAGTGAAGAAGTTAAGACGCTGGTTGTAGAGGCATCTGTGCGATATATTCTGTGCAAACCAAGCCAGGTGCACGCTGTACACTTTCTATTCGCTGTGATAGACATGAGTAGAACGGACTACAAACCACACTGCAGTACTCTAGCCGACTTCGGACTAAGGAGTTGTATAAGCTAATTTTAATCTTTGCTTGAAATTCCCTGGAAGTGCGTTTTACGAAACTTAACATTTGAGTCGATTTCCGTACCGCAGAGCCAATATGAGATGTGAATATTTATTAAGTATTCATTACATTTACATTACATTTGTAACAGTTACAGCTTTTTTTGAATAAACAAAGAGAAAATGATCCATTTTCTTTTAAAGTCCGATAGCCAGAAATAGTCATATCGAAACCAAAAATACAAATTGAAGCTAAATGAACAACCTATCTAATCCATAAGGTAGTCAAATCGGAAAAAATTTTTCATCCGTACACCAAAAATAAGACCGAGAAAATTCTAAAAAAATTTTTACTTTGATGTTCATTAAGATTGCGCGAATCGTGTTACTTGGAATATTTTTTCAAGATCCATTTTAATTAAATTAATTATTTACAATAAATTAAATTTAAAAAATTAAAAACTTCCAAGCTTTAAATTGCTTTTTCTTTACTCCAATACGATCAATTTTTTTCAAAGATATAGACATTTGAAAAATCGCAGAATATTTTGATTATTTTTTTTATCCCTTAATTTTTCCACTAGTACGGAGGAATAACACCTGAGTCCTCAGGAATGGCAACGCATGGAAAGTATCATGGGCGAAACAGTATACTCTGGTTATGTCCATGGTACTGCTCATGTGTATAGGCGACGGTTACCACTTTCCATCAGGTGGGCCATCAGCTTGTTTGCCATTCTAAGTTGTATAAAAAAAAATTTATATCATCTCTCTCTGGTGTCTCGTCAGCGTATACCGATAGCGAAAACGGACATTACTATTCCATCTAATCATCCATGAAAAAAAATATCAGCTTGAAAAAGCCTAAGTCTATACGTCCTTATAGTATTCAAGGAATTATCCCTTAACTCCTAATCATTGTTGTGTCTTTCATCATAAGATGATAACTCTGCAACATAAAATGATTACTACCAGATGCAAATATAACAATATTAATGTCTTTATTTAATTACAAATTTTATTTATTTAGATCTACTAGCCATCGAACTAGGCCAAGCTTGTATCTCAGTGAATAGTTAATATATAAAAATCTAAATAAGTTTTGAAAAAATATAAAACACCATATATGTGTATATAACATTTAAAGGCTTTCTTTGATTTTCCTGGGATTCCACCGTCAGAGCCTGATTTGATAATAATGCGATTAGCTCAAGAGTATACTCTTTTGAAAAACAATTTATTGAAAACAGTCTACAATTGACGGAGAAATGACATACATAAAAATATACAATCCAACACATAACCTTCCTTTTTTTAAGTCGGTTTAAAATTTATAACGATATCTCGAAATATAGTTACAATAACAATATAAAATATTAATAATTTAAGTCAAATTATAAACTTCCAAAAAAATAAGAGCACACAAAAATAAAAGCTAATAAATAAATAACCTTGCCCTTGTCCTTTTCAAGTGACTTTTAAATACCTAGTTGATAGTAATAAAAACATATTTTCATTTGTTGGTTTCTGTAAAATTTTCAACGTTTATCTAGCCCTTGAAAATAATATTTGTCTGTAGCCGCTGCATACAACAATTTATCGTCAATGACCGTCACGTTTAAATCTGCGATATCTATGAAAGAAATAAACTAAGGGTGATTATAAATATTTAGGTATGAATGTAAGAATAAATATAATCATTATTATCAATATTATACATATTATGATAATATGTAAATTACTAGAACATTTACAAGGCATCTACTTACAACAGATGTCATAAACTTTTGCAGAAATATAATATTTATAATGCAAGTTGAAATGGCCAACAAGGTAACGACCCACATTATTGAAAATGATAACCGTCACCTATAGACATAAACGTAGACATCACAGAATACACTGTGACGCTTATGGTAATTTTGTATGTTACCATTATTAAGAACTCAATCAAAATAAAAAGTTTTGTCGAGACCATATCAGGATATCGTAGTTTTTACATTGCTACAATTGATTGTAAATTACCAATCACATGTCGCAAACTTATTTAGTTATAATAATCTATAATATCTATATATATATAATAATCTAACAAAATCAATATCAGAAATTCCCCTCCATAAAGCTAACAAAAACAAGATCTTATAAGGTTCACAAATCAAGGTCTTCTATCTTAAGTGAAGTTCTTATTACAAAAGTAAAAAATTAAGTGAAGTTCTTATTACATTAATTTAAAAAGTCTTTCTAGAAAAATCCCAAAATTATATTTTTTTATGATGACGCTATTTTAATTTTATCCCTCAACAGGGACATAGGTCCATAATAGGAACTTCCATGCATTTTTCTCAATTGATTGTTCCCAAAGTGGTTTTAATTCGGTAGTGAGTGGCGGCCGGATTTTCTCCCTTTTATCTGTTTGCAAGAGTCCTAGAATGGATTATATTATTAAACACAGATATTATTCTAACTATATCCCATTTACAAAAAAAAAGGATAGTTTTAGGGTTCCATACTAAAAAGGTACAAAGAAACCCTTATGACGACATTTTGTCTATTCATCCCTCTGTCACTCTATTTTTTTTTTTTTTTAGTTATTACGTATACCTATGATCAAGTACTGATTTCTAATGAAATATTGTTTTACAACTTATTTTTTCAAACATTTAGTTATTGGATTTACCAAAAATAAGATGGTGGTGATAATAAAAATAAAACAACTACTATAAATGCAATAATGGTTGATGTACCTTTACTTGCAGGCAATAATTTAAGACCACAATTTTATATAAAAGATTAATTTTATTATTATTACTTATTTTACACAATACTTCATAACTGTAGAGATCATTAAATCTTATTTTATAATTTCTTTAAAAATTTACTATCAACTTCTCTGTAACTTTCTCTTTCACAGGTAGGAATGGAATAACGTCATCGGCTTCCTTCATTTGAGCTGTAGGTATCTGAAAAAGTTGAATAATTTATTATACCTAATACTTGATACATGTTCATACGGTTCTTTATTAAGTCAATAAAGTTTATTGTACAAAAAAGAAAACTACTTCAATTTTGTCAAAATTATATAATTATATTAATATGGAACCAACACAACAGTAAACCCTAAAAATACCAGTGCCAAATAAAAAGAGTCATCATTGATGAACTTATGTCAATTTGTCCATATATTACAAATATCTAAACTTTTTTTATAAAGTAAAATTTGTGATTACATTATTAATAATTTAATCAAAGTTTACATCAGTAATAACATGCCTAATAATTAAAAAAAAATCAGTAGTATTTTAATTTTTTTCCTTGTCAATTTAAACTTTATTGTATAAAAATTTATAATAATATTTGTTTAGGTAAATATGTATAACTTTGAAAACCATACTAACATTCAAGTCTTTTGCTAATGATTCTTTTACTGTGTATTCTCGCAATACATAGTCTGAGTTGAGCATATGAAACATTCTAGTTTCATTTGATCGCACCAACACATCATCCACTCTCAAAAAATATCTTAACAGCAAATACCAACATGAGGGCATTACTCTCTGAAATGAAAATAATATTAAGTTAATACATTTAAAATAATTACACACAATCCATATTGCATCTAATGCTCAAAAACAGTGAAAGAATATGATAATAAACATGCTTATGCTATAGCACTGTGAAATTCATTCTCAAACAAGTAATCTAGTATACTCTATGTTTTATTCTATATGACGATGGTATGAGTATTTTTAATATTTTCAATAGTGAACTTATTAAATAACTCATCAGAAAAAAACAACAATTTATCCTCCTATAGCTGACTATAGCTGACAGCTAGTCAATAGTTTAAGGTCTGAGTGTTATAAAAATGCGACCACACCACTTTATAGTAAAATGCACAGGCATTTTATTTGTATACTTTTGTGGAGGGGGATGAACAATATAAAAAGAATTTGTAAGATGTACTTTAAAGTCACAGATAATTTTTAAAAAATACTAAATATATAAAAAGAAATAAATGGTTAAAGATAAAATTATAATTTATCTATAATATTTCATAAATTACTTACAATCTTGACGCTAAGCTTGGAAACTCCATGATCATGCAATTCATCTTCAAACAGTGTGAGATCATGGTAGAACAAAATTTGCTCCTTTTGTTTTAATATATCATAGTTTATAGTTTCATCTGTAGCTTGAATGACAATATTATCTGTGAATGTTCCTTTATAATCAGTTGCGAAAGTCCAATCAAATGTTCTTTTTTTCTTTCCCGCATCTGGTCTTAAAAGAAAATTTTGCATAAGTCCTAATTAACAGTGTGATATAAATAATTTCTTGTGTAAAACTACTCTTGTAATGAGTTTATGTAACTTTCTAATAAAGATCCTGCCTTTAATTATATGTGCATGTGACATTAAATTAGTAATAAATTCTTTTTAATAGCATTGAAAAGAATTTATTACATTATGTTATTATTTATAACAAGGCCATGAGTTCAATTTAATGGATTTTAAGAAAAGTAACTTTCAAGATTACTTTGACAAATTAAAGATAATCTAATAATTCTAACTTAAATTACTAAATGTAGTTTAAAAATTATTTTATTTTAAAATTAACAGCTATCTACAGCTTTTACAATAGCTGAACCTATTATGTAGTTATTTTTTAACAAATAATCCTAAAATTTTTAAATGGTTATCTTAAAAACAATTATTTATAAAAACAGAGAAATGCAGAAAAAATTCATGAGTGAAGTTTTGACAATTATAATAAGAGACATAAACAATAAAAATTAATTATATTTATTATTTATCATTATCAAATTTGCAACATAATTGATGATGCATTAAGTAACATGATAAACTAAAACACAATTATACTGAAAATGAATTTTAATTCTTATAATTAAGTGGTCAAAATCATATAGTCATAAATAATTTAGCTTGCATTTGTAATTTTTCATGTTTACAAGTAAATAAGTACATTTTACTCTGTAAATTAGAAAAACATCGACTGCCAAAAACTATATTAAAAAAGATTAAACACATAGTCATTGCAAATTATTCTAAAATGCATTTAGAATTTATAGTAGAATAAAGAAATTCATATACATATAATATGCTTGAACCCTGACAACATTAAACCCTTTTTTGGATACTCCTGTATGTAGTATGTCTAGACAAAAATTAACAAATTAAAAATTTGTTTCCAAATGTTTTCATTATTATGTTCATATACCTTCCTTACCTATGTAAATGTTTTTAAATATTACATTCTGTTTCTATCTGTATTAAGCTTTTAGTAGTTGCACTGTCTTGCTTATATTGTTAGGAAACAAAGATATTATAGAAGGTACTAGTTGTATCATGGGGTTCCATCCATGGTTATGATGTTGAATAGCTCTTCATTAAAAAATGAGAAAAAAAATAATAAAATTTAACATTCTTTTTCTTAACCATAGTTTTTCAAAATCAAATAAAGAATACATACCTAGACTCCTGCCATGCCTCGGCACATGCAACTTCTATAGCTTCCACTGTATTTGCTACACGCTTTAGTGCATCCAAAGGATTAAAATTTATACTGGCACCACTTTTATGTGTCAATGTAAGTATATTCTTAGGAAATACCATATCAGGAAAATGTGGTATTGTCAGTTCTTTGCAATATCTAGAATCAATCAAATCGATTAATATATTAATTTATAACTTTAAAGACAGTAGATCAATTTTAAGTATAATCAAAAACATTGGAATTTTTCCACCAAACTTTGTATAGTTAGAGGTCAATGGATATGCTTAAAAGGCAGTTTAATTAGTGAAAAAAAAATACATTATTAATAAGTAACTACAATCAAAGTTACTTACATGCAGAACTGACAAAATTGATCGTCGTCTCTCTCACATACAACTTTGGTCGAACACACACTCGGTAGTATACAGCTGATATTATACGAAATATGCCACGGCCCAAAATGTATAGAATTGGAATTTATTTCAAATCGTCTTGAATCAACCGTGTCCTGTAAATGAAAATACTCAATTATCTTATTTTACATCTTAGTACGATAATACATAACCTGTAATTAAAAGGATAAAGCACCTTAATTTGAATCATTGTGAACTTCTATAGGACAGATAATTATATGATTTGATAAAATATATTTAATTAAATATATATTAAAGTATTTTATTTTAATTTATTTTAAATGCTATTTTGAATATTATGGGGAATTAAAAATAATATAATTTGACTGACTGAATGACATATTACTAAATTACTTGGCCTGTGTTGCTGGTGATTGAACGGACTGTTATAACTTCAAGTATTTAGACATAGATTAAGAATATTACAGGTTAATGATAAAATTAAATAACACATGATTGATTGAAAGTCAATGAGACTGATTCTGTAGCGCCATTTCTGTAAACATATCTCTGAACCAAATATTTTTATTTGATAATTTTGCATTTTTACTCTTTTATGGGTCATCAAATTTATTTAAGACATTTACCGTTTATGGTTTCTGAGCTGTTACTGACGACGTTTGGGCAAACGAACGTCGTAGATTAAGAATAGTCTATGACGAAAAAAAAAGGCGGGAAAACTTGTAACGCGAGGGCGGAAATTTTAAATTCATTTTATTTGTTTAATATTTGTTGCTTCTCCTAGTTTCTTTTACTTATTTCTCCAATTTAAGCCCTCGTGTGTTGTTAGAGGATATGTGCGAGTCAAGCGGAGGCAAGTTAAAAAGAAGAAAAAAAAAATACTTCCATATCTGATGAAGAGCCAGATGCTAAGATGAGTATTAAATTTACTCACTCAAAAAGAGGACTGTTTAAAGATCAAAATTACCTATATTCTGACACTACTAAAAATGAATATTTTATCCTGTTGTCTCCTATTGAGGGCAACAATGTAAACTTATTGCAAGTCAATTCTATTCTGAGGACTGTACCTGGTGTATTCTATATTCGTACTATGGGTTCTACTGCATTCAAAATATGTTTTCGATCAATGAAACAGGCTAACGAATTTTTATTAAATAAAGATTTATTAGAGAAACATAAACTTCAGGCTAGGATACCCAATAATCAGCTGGAATCTCAGGGAGTTATAAGAGCTCCTACTGAAATATCTGAGGAAGATCTCTTAAATAACTTAAAATCTACTGTAGATATCATCGGTGTTAAACGTTTCAAAAAAAAGAAAGAAGATGGAAGTTTTCATCCTCTTCCTACAGTTTTAGTAACTTTCCTCTCTACGCAGCGACCTGATCACGTAACGTATGATCATATTTGGCTGGATGTGCGTGAATTCATTAGACCTCTACTCCAATGCTTCACTTGTTACAAATTTGGTCATGGAAGCAGTTCCTGCAGAAGTAAGCAAGTTTGTTCCATATGTGCCGGTGCCCATGATTATAGATCCTGTATCAACAAAGACAATCCTAAATGTGTTAATTGTAATGGACAACATGTAGCAGTATCTAATAGCTGTCCCACTAAATCGATGAAATTGTCTCAAATCAAAGATAAAATTCTAGGCAAAACATCTTATGCATCAGTGACTTCAAAATCGGTTAACTCTGTAATTAATTCAAATACCCCTGTGTCTATTAACAGCCCAACGCAAAATAAATCTCCTCAAAAAAGGGCATTAGTTATTGACATCATTAACTCAGACATTGTACTCAACACAATTACTAAGACTGTTATTGAGCTAGTTAAGAAAGCTCAAACTAATTCTGATACAATTTCATCTAAATTAATTAAGGAAATACTCATATCTAATTTTTCAACATGACCATTACATCTTTAAATGAAATTAATATTGTTCATTGAAACTCAAGACGCTTTCTGTCTAAAATATTTCAATTTAAAAACTTTATTTACAACTTTACATCGCATTTTGATATCATTTTACTAAATGAAACTTGGCTTGATTCTAACAAAATCTGTAAATTGTCTGGTTATACTATATTAAGTAGATTGCAGATAGGTCATTGTAAATTTCCTGCACATTTGCAACGTATTAATTTATTGGATAATTCTATCTGTAAATACTGCCAAAACATTTTTTCTAATTTGGATCATATTTTTTTTTGTTTGTCCTAAATTCTCACTTCAACGGTTACTTTTTATTTGTCAATGTCAAGATTTAATAAAATGTCAAAATATTCCTACTTCAGCGCAGGATCTACTAAAACATACCATTTTGTACCAAGAAATTTTTCATCAATTGGTGAAATTTAAATATGTAATTGTAACTTATACTTTTCTACTTAACTTACTTTCTTAGTATATTATAATTAATTTATAACTATAATAATTTTTGTAATTTGTCTTGTAATTTTATATTGTTACCTTGTAATTGTTACTTTTTGGCTGATGGCTTTCGCCAAAGTCACAATAAATGAAAAAAAAAAAAAAAAAAAGTCTACGACGAAGTGAATCGTAACTAAAAAAACATACCTTTGCATATACTATTACTTATTTTGTCTATGCACGGCCAAAATAAAATCAATATGGCCGACTTTTACCGGTTGGTTTCTCTGTTTTGATATTTTGTTAAAATTATCAGTACTGTGCTTCTTACCTAATAGCACAGCAGAAAACTGATTCTAAAATTCTCAAGTTAGTAATTGGCAACAATAAATATGGAAGCGCTTATACCAGTTATTAATAAATTACAAGACGTTTTTAATACAGTTGGTGCTGATGCCATTCAATTACCTCAAATAATAGTTTTAGGAACACAGGTGAATGATTTTCAATATTATTCATAAGTAATAATTATAATTGTAGTGATTAGAAATATTGTAAGAAAGTATTAAAGAAATATTGTTTCAACTATTGGTTATGTAAAAATGTCACAGAGTTCTTTGTCCTCATTCCCATTAAATTAGAGCATTTATCCCAGTCCATAATCACGTCCCTGGCACTAGAAAAATATATATATGTGCTTTTGTTTAAATTTATATTCAATACTTATATTCAGTATACTTAAAATTAACATTTAATTAAGAGTAATGACATTCAATAGTTTTTAGAGTATTTTTAAAAATGTTTTAATTATACTGTGATGACCTACTCGCCTCTTGTAATTTATGAAAATTTCCTGAATAAAAAAAATACACATCTTTTTTTTAATTTTTTTTATGTTACTTGGCATGGCAAATGAGATGATAGATTATTTGTTTAAAGTAATAATTGTAATTTATAAACATGAGCAGCACAGTTACACTGCTGTTTATGTTTGCCATGTAATAAGGATGTGCCATAGCCTTATTATCCTAGCTGTTAGACTTATGACACTTTATTTAACATGTTATTAAATAATATATCAATTTTATTCCTATTTTATTATAAGAATTACTGGTTTGACTTATATGTAATTTGGTCCAGAATGTTTGACTTGTTTAATGAGAGTGATATGTTATATACATGTTGCTTGTGTATAACAATTGTTATTAACTTTAACATATGAAATTTACAATATTTTTGTTGTATTTTTTTATTATTACTACACAAGAAAGCTGTATCTGTAAAAAGATTTTTTTTTTACTTGTATATAGTATAATGTACCTAATGGATACATAGATTATTGGGCTAGTAATTTTTATTCTATAAAGATTGAAAGGAATATTTCAGAAGTACTGAATATAAATAATATAATAATAAATCTTTTATAGTAGAATAATTGCTAACTAAAGAAATTCTGGTGATTCTTATACTATTTTTATTCCAGTTAATAATATAAAACATGACATAGGGTATTTATGATGCATTAATCTAATTATAATCTTTAAAAAATATTTAGGTAGGGTAATACAATCATAGAAAATTACTATTTAATAATGTTTATAATAAGTTTTCCTTGAATATAAATTATTTTTTAAGTAAGTTTAAATGCTAATATTAAAAAAAGCACCTTTTTACTATTGTTATTAACATTATTTATTGACATTTATGGCAGAGTTCTGGCAAGAGTTCTGTGATCGAGAGCCTCGTGGGCCGCTCATTCCTGCCTCGAGGACCGGGCATTGTCACCCGGCGACCACTTGTCTTGCAATTGGTGTATAGCCCTAAAGACAGCAAGGAGCATCGTTCAGCAGAAGAAGGTTTGTCTACATAAACATCTTTAACAATATTTCATTTTATTTTGTTGTCTCATTTCATATAATCCACCAAATTTAATAGATACCTTCAAACCAGCATATATATAGTATAATATTCAAATCAGTCTATATAGACTTGTATAATTTTCTTGGTAGAAAAAACATAAAAAAATTAATCATATTATGATTCACATAATGGGTTTTTGGTAATTCTGGTCATTGTTGAATGCATCTGAGAAAATTTGTGTAATTTTATTTAATTGACTGTAATTGAACTTTAATTGACACTGATTTACTTTCCATGAAAAAAAAATACATTTTTTTATATTCTTGACTTCCAATTGTCTGCCATGTTCGAAACTGCAAAATATTTCAAAACTGGTACATGGATATATCAGGATAGGAATTTCTTTTCTGCACTTAACATTTTATGCAAAACTGGGGATATATATATTCGCCATTATCAGAAAAATCTCAATACAAAATTTTTGCTGAGTCATATAACACTGTCCCTGTGTAACTCTTAATTTGTTGTCTAATAACTTGACTTATTCTAATCAATAATAACTTTGCTTCCTTTTGAAAATAATTTCATGTGCATTCAATTATGTTTAGTTGTGCTGTTGATATCATCCAAGTCTGTCTAAGATAAACTGTCTTAAACAACTATGCAAATTTATTGAAAATTCTAACTATCAGTGGTAACTATTCTCTTTGTAAATTTAATATTTCTCACAACCTTATGCCTGAACCGTCTAGATTGTTATATTGAGATAACAATAGTTAATTTGAAATTCATTGCCATTGCAATAAAGACATTAATCTCCATTTCGCTGCCGCTACTGTTATCATTTGTATAAAATACATTTCAGCTCATCGATTTATATATTATCTATGTGCACGGAATGTCTTTGTTTTCTTATTTAATAGGATACTTGATTATTTTATTACCAAATTTTTAAGTTACTTCCAAAAGGAGATTTATTCACTAATTTATTATTTATGTATATTATGCATTATCTCACTAATGCTGAGCTGATTTTGATAATTTTTTTGCAATCATAAGAATTTACAGGTGAGGAAGAAAGGTTCTTGAATAACAATATCTAATAAGTGAATATAATGTTTGGTGATCCCTTAAAAAATAAATACTTAAAAAATGTTGTAAGGTGTTAATGGCTCAAAACTATTTTATGAGACCTATTTTCAGTAGTACATAATAAACAGGTCGAGGTAATCATAATTGTGTTAAAAATTTATGCTGATTTTTTTTATTTCTATTGCAATTATGTGAATTTAATAAACATATGCAGTTTAAATTTTTATAATAAACTGAGTTATGTTCTTGAGTAACACATTGAAATGTAGCATTCAGATACATCAAATATATTTACATCTATGCTAGTATTAAGACATCAGAATACTGAGGCAACAACATGGAACCCAATTACTCAGCTGTCTCATTCAATATTCAGTAAAGGTTTGTATTATTCATGGAATATATTTTTTCTGTGTTGTTCTGCTTGACCACCATTACCTAAATACCTTGTAAATATTTTAATATCAATATGTAATGAATATGTTAGACTTGGTATATGATAATATTATTCTAAAATTATTATTATTACATTATCATAAAACTAGAGGTATCAATTATCAATCAATATATCAATCAGGTGCACTTGTTAGTCTTGAAGAAATAACTTGTGTAAGGTTTTTAACGATTATTTTAATGTACTAACATCTTACTGGTGTACTTGTAATAAAATTATTTATGTTATTTATATTTTTGCTTTAGGTACAATAAATTTAGAAGAATGGGGTAAATTTCTTCATACAAAGGACAAGGTCTATACAGATTTCGAAGCCATACGACAAGAAATAGAACGCGAAACTGACCGCATGGCTGGTAGCAATAAGGGTATCTGTCCAGAGCCTATTAGTCTCAAAATATACTCGACAACAGTTGTCAACCTTACACTAGTTGACCTACCTGGAATTACAAAGGTATGATGATAAAATGTATAATTCTGTTTGTCTTTGACGATTGTACAAATGTTTCAAAAGAAAGTTTATATTTTGTGAGTTGATAACTTAAAAAATAAGATGTCTATACAAAAAAATGTTTATTAATTATCATAGTACAGTATTTGGGGATATATCTCTTAAAAATAATGTCGTCTAAATGAAAATCTTCGCATTCACGGCATTCGTGTTCGTCGCAGCTTAGTAGCGGCAGTTTTGCAAATTTACATGTTCATTAACGTGAAAATGAACTTCCGAAAACAAAATGTTAAACGTCGAGAAACGATCTATAGCCTGATTGATATACCAAGTGGCAGGCTACTTACTGGCAAACCCCCGCGCTCCTCACATTCGATGCGTTCATACAGTCAGCTAAACAAATGGAAACTTTCTTTTGATATATTTTTTCTATTTTATCTAATAAGGTATATAAAAATCTCGTGTTACTATGTTCATTCCCGCTAATGTACGAAACCGCTCAACTCATTTTAATGAAAAATTGAAAATATATAGTTTGCTTCAACTTGATATATATAATACGTTTTTTTATCCCAATAAGAAAATATGGAACTAATAAGTGTTTGTAGGAGGCAAAACAATGTGTGCTGGATTAGTTAATTAATAAATATAATTTATCTAATAATTAACACTTTATTGCACTAATACGGGCAATTAACAGATTATCAACAAAAAATAAAATAAACATGAGATTAATATTTATATTTATTTTTTTATTTTTTTGTATATTCATAATATTTACTGTTATTTAACTTTACTGCCAGATACCAATAGGTGACCAACCAGAAGATATTGAGAACCAGATTCGCAACCTCATTATTAAATATATTTCCAATCCCAATTCTATTATTCTGGCTGTAACTGCTGCTAACACCGATATGGCAACCAGTGAAGCCATTAAAATGGCTAAAGAAGTGGATACTGATGGTCGAAGGACCCTAGCTGTAGTTACTAAACTTGATCTTATGGATGCAGGTATGTTGGCAGTCAAATACATATCTTTATGTTTTCAATATTTTGTAATAAATTCTACAGATTACAACAATCTCCAACATGGTATCATTGACAAATCTTTTGCACAATTATAAGTAACTAACAACCCGCCCCGGCTTCGCACGGGTTTTTTACAAAAAAACATAAAATAGCCTATGTTATTCCGAGAAGTTTGATTATTATTATTGTAGTACATTATTTTAATCTATCTTGTAGGGTTCAGCCAGCATTTGCAATGTAAGCGCAAATAAATGTGTTCACAATGTGTCGTCATCACATTAGAAACCTCTAAATTTGTCAGTGTTTCTCTACAATATTATGCATATATTATACATATAAACCTTCCTCTTGAATCACTCTATTAAAATAAACCGCTTCAAAATCCTTTGCGTAGTTTTAAAGATATATATACTTTATATATATTAAAGTATATATATTAAAGATATAAAGCATACATAGGGACGGACAGACAGCGACTTTGTTTTTTACTATGTAGTGATAATAAGTTTTCAAATATGATAAAATTGTTACAAACCTCGTATTTTATTCAAAATATTAAATATCTTATAGCTTACAATCTCTACTCGTAAATAACTATCTCTAGAGCGCGTGGTGTTCTCAATTTCAAACATAAAAATAAAAACATAAGTAGGTAATAAATGTGTATACTTTCGTTACTATTAGGAGTACAAATAAGTTTCCGCCGTTTTTTAACACAAATTAAATATTTATTATAGAAGAACGGTAATATAGATTTATATAAAATATTGCCCATCACTTGCAACCACTTTTTCCCATCTCTCAGGCAGCATTCGAATTCCACGTCTGAAGAACTCCTTGTCTTTTGAGGCTATCCACGAATCAACCCAATTTTTGGTATCCTCATAAGATGTAAACCGCTGCGTCGTCAGAGCATGTGCCATGGACCGAAACAGGTGATAATCGGACGGTGCAATGTCTGGTGAATACGGCGGGTGGGGTAACACTTCCCAATCAAGTGTTTCCAAGTACTTTTTTACGGGAGCCGCAACATGTGGACGAGCATTGTCATGCAGAAGAATAATTTTTTCGTGTCTAGAATAGTATTGAGGGCGTTTTTCTTTCAGAGCTCGGCTCAATCTCATCAATTGTGTTCGATAGAGGGCTCCAGTAATTGTTTCGCTCGGATTAAGCAACTCATAATACACTACACCTAGCTGATCCCACCAAATACACAGCATAAGTTTTTTTCCGTGAATATTCGGTTTTGCTGTTGATGTTGACGCGTGGCCAGGTAATCCCCATGATTTTTTTCTTTTTGGATTGTCATAATGTATCCACTTCTCATCACCAGTTACGATACGATGTAAAAAACCCTTTTTTTTATGTCTAGCTAGCAGCATTTCACTTAAGCATAATCGGCGTTCAATATCTCTCGGCTTTAATTCGTACGGAACCCAATTTCCTTGTTTATGAATCATTCCTAATGATTTTAAACGATGTGAGACTGCTTGCTGAGTGACTTCTAATGTTAGAGCAAGTTCTTTTTGTGTTTGAGATGAATCCTCCTCCAATAATTCCTCCAATTCTGCATCCTCGTAAATTTTTGGCCTTTCACTGCGATCTTTGTCTTCTACGTCGAAATCACCGTTTTTAAACTTTTGAAACCACTCTCGACACGTTCTCTCACTCAAAGCACCCTCACCATATGCTTCTACGAGCAATTGATGCGCCTTAGCAGCAGATTTCTTTAAATTAAAGAAGTAAATTAATATTTCCCGCAAATGACGCTTATTTGGCTCAAATTTTGACATTTTCAAGTTATAAAAATTATATTTTACCAATATCAAATCAATAATATTAATAGGTTATGTTGGTCTTGAATGTCGAAACTATTTTTTAAGCCGGTTATCATCTGCGAAAGCTAACCGAAACTCCGTGCCGCGCCATCCACAATAAAACGGCGGAAACTTATTTGTACTCCTAATAATTGGGGGAATGTGCATCTCATTGTAAAGGTCTGCTGCTATTAATGATATTCGTCGGTGCATTTTTTCTCAGTCAAAATTAATACAACGTTGATCACAACACGGAAATTTCTCTTCTTGCTGTGCACTAATTAAAAATGAGCCCATTGTAAATGTTATTCCTTAATTACATAGGAAATTATATAATTGTTTAAAGTTCCATAAGTACAACTAACATACGGTTAATTACTTACTATGTTACATATGTGTAATCCAATTAAAAATTTTAGATTACTTGTACTTTTACAAGAAATTATATTCATACATCGTTTAAATCAAATACGCACTTATCACATTGATTGACACCGTCGCCATGTTGCAGAGACACATTGATAACGCCGTTAGATATTATTATACGTAAATAAACAAATCGACTGCGATAACATTTTTATTATAACAATTATTATACTGTTTCGTAACGATTAGCCACAATTTCAATTTATACTATTTCAAAACGTTTTAAAATGCTTTGCCGTCTAATTTGAAAAATATTACATTCTAAACTATTGTTACCATTTTTCATCAGATATTTCATACTATTAGAAATATAAATGAGTTACTTCCGCTATTTGCTTTGTGACTAGTAACCAACAGTGTAAAAATATAATCAAAACGCGTATAACGCTAATTATTTATTTTTATAATAATTTTTTTTTATTTTTACTATTTCATATAAAAACTACTAATCCGGCCGGACTCCATGCGGGCAGATGTAATTTTTAAAAATAATATATAACTTATGGTACTCGCTGAAAATGTAGTTTTTTATAAATGTAAGAATTTTTGAAATCGGTTGAGTAGTTCTTAAGATTATCCATTAAAAATAAACAAACAAATCTTTCCTCTTTATAAAATTAGTAGAGTAAATTTACTTATGAAAAGGATTTATGACATTTTGTATTCTTCAGACATCGCTACCTGATCAGATATCTGACTAACATGCTAATAGTAGCTTAGTATTCACCTCTTATGGGAAGAGACCTATGTCCAGCAGAGCACATTAATATGACGTTATAAAACCCCGTTTGTTTTCATCAATTGGCTCTATAAACTAGTTCATAAATATATTGGCAAAGAGACGTTCGCCGCGGAATTTACTTTATACATTGTAAATGTGTTCTAAATATATACAACAGATACATATAGTATATTTCACTTACATGTCGTTTTTATACTGCCGACAATAATATAACATTAATTTATTTCAGGAACTGATGCCATAGACATCCTGTGTGGGCGAGTAATCCCTGTAAAACTGGGCATCATTGGCGTTGTAAACAGATCTCAACAAGACATTATAGATAAGAAAACTATTTCGGTAATTTCATCTCTATATCTTTCTATCATAGTATATTTCACAATGAACTTAATTGTGTGATTTTATATTTATCGCTCCATTGTGATTTACATTTGATAATACAGTATATCGTATATTATCTGACGCAGAAGCACCTATGTAGACTTAGTGTGTAATGCAGTCTAGGACATTACTATAGATATCTAAATATTGATAGGTATTTTCTCAGGGTTACATAGGTAGTAACCGTCACTAATAGCCACAAATAGCGCTATACAAGATACCACTTTAGTATGACAATTTATAATCAATTAAATATAAATAATTATTATGTCATACTTAAAAACATTGGACTAAGATATTATAGAAATGTAATTTAAAATGAACAAAAATTGGTCCCACACGTAAACATATGTACAGTATGTGTGTTCGGTTATTTTACGCCAGCCAATTAAACGAATTATGCCAAACAATTAAACGAATTTAATTAAATAGGGGTATGTTAAGATTCGTTATGTGAGAGTGCCATATGCCGACACCATAAAATGAATAAGGTTGTAATAGTCAAAAACTGATTAATTATGAGTTTTTTGTAACTTTATTGAGAAAGAAAGATTGATATTGTCACGTTCTGACACAAAAACGTGACAACATATTCAACATTTGCAGCCGGGTGTTTGTAGTACTAGGTCTATCGGAAACGTGGGTGACTGACCCAGCGCGCGGCAGATCGAATACTAAGGTCCTCTACACACGCGTCGATTGGGCTGCATCGGGCTACGCTTTTAATTCTTCTTTCGTGTCGTATCGCAATGATGGGTGCGTAATTATTATCGAAAAGGTATACCAGAGGGCCTATCATGAAATGTTTTCCGAAATTTCGGAGCCAAACGGAACACAAATTTCATGTTAAAATTACATAATACAAGCCGTTTGGAAATATTAAGTGTTAAAATATTGTTCCTTTGGACTTTTATGATAGAATGTATGAGGAACGAAATGTTAAACTACATTTATTGGTCCGGTTTTGTTATAAACAAAAACACGAAATTGAGTCCGAAATTTCGGAATGTTATTTCATGGTAGATCCGCAGAAACTTTCGAACGACAATACCCGAATCGTGAACCAATCGACAAATGTGTATAAAGGTACTAATAAGCATTAATCGCACTGCCTAGTGTTTTAGTGGTACCATTATTTAAATAGGATTCCAGCATTCTCATATTTATATGTTTTCTATTTTAAATGTACAGGACGCTCTGAAAGATGAAGCAACATATCTCCAAAGGAAGTATCCAACTATAGCTACTCGCAATGGTACTCCATACTTGGCTAAGACATTGAATAGACTGCTTATGCATCATATAAGGGATTGCTTACCGGAATTAAAGGTACGCCTTACACTATAATTTGTTTTAATTTTTTTTTTTTTATTTTAATGATAGGAATTTTATGCTTTATACATTTCAATTGTTTTTTTTTTTTTTTTAATGAGCACATTAATTAAAGTGAAGGTAATAATTATTTAGAAACTTTTTAATTATTCGTAACCAACAAGTTTTATAGAAGTAATGTACTGGTAAATGTATTCTTTAATTATATGAGTATCTTTTAATAGTCGACTTTTTGTATATTCTCTTTATTCCAAAAATTGTCAATCAAAGCATACCTATACGAGAAATCTGTATTATTAATTTAAAATATTTTCTATAAAAATTATCCTGGAACACAACATAAAGTCACATTTCGTTCCATTTATTTATAAATAATTCAAACAAGATTTGCACAATCTCTTCAATTACATCCTACACATTTTATTCTAGAATATTGTACATGAGCAAATCTATTAAGCGCATTAATTTCATAATGAATTGATTGTCAATATTACGTAAAATAGATACTTATATGAAGATATTGGAATCAGTATATGTACATTAATTAATACATATAAATACTTTGTGTAAAGTTCAAGGTTATACACCCGAATACAATGGTATCGCAAAATTGCTTTCGACCGTATTATTACTATCAATATACAATGGTCTACCAATTCAATCGCGCAGTTGAAGCATTATTGAAATGATTTTTTCAGAACACTGATGATTGCATATTTACTAGCAGGTCATAGTTCAAATATTTTGATGTTCTTTGTCGTTTGATTTATAGTTGATGTCTACACTAGGCCATATAAAGTTAATAAGGCAATATACATACTAATACGCAATTTTTAGATGTGTAAGAAATAGATAATATCATGGCATAGCTATTAATTATATACCTTATAGCTTGATTATAAATTTCCTTTTTTATAACATTATCGGAAAGTTAGTTGCGGATTTGCGCGAAATAAACACAATGTCATATAAAGTTTAATGAACCGGTAAGCCAACATATTGAATGTATGCGTTTTATGTTGTCAAAGTAGATAATATGACTCATAAAGAGAAGTTAATAAGTACAGTCACTCTTTTATGATCACAACTAGAATATTAAGAACGTTCGATGATTCGCATATTAGCAAGAACATACGAAAAATGAAATCGGCTGAAAAGTATACGTCGAATTCAAAACGTCATGTCTGTGTAAATTTTTACGTCGACAGAAGTAATAAAAACACGTAAAGTCTACGAATCTAAGATGATTTTATTTTTATAAAGGAAATTGATTTAAAAAGTAGCTTATTCTAAATCTGACTTTGTGTCGTCTGACTCCATTAAATGTGAATGGATTTTTACGACCTTAAAAAACACACGAGACTGGGTACAAAATTTATTTTAGTTTTGTATAGTAGGTTTGGAAGTAGTTTTTTCTTCTTTTAATAAGAAATACTTTTAAAAGAAGAAAATGGTATATTTATCTATTTTACATGTAATTTTAAGAAACAAAAATATTAATTTATAGCTTATGCCTAATTTTATATTCTATGAAATGTATTTATATCTATCATTTATCTATCGTCAGTACGATACTTTTATCGTTTTTCATGAATTTTGCATACATTACTATAATTATAATAATAAATACCAAGAACAATACTCAGCACTATCAAATCCCAATCCAAGCAGACCTTGTATTGGGATACTAGACAACTGATAAAAATAATTAAATACATACATATAACACATAGACACATTCAGAAAAGTACTCATGTACTTCATAATACAAAAAATTGTATTAAGATGGGATCGATTCCGCGACCATCGGAAGTTGAAGTAGAGTGCTAAACTATTGAGATCAGCATTGTGTTTTAATTATATTTAATAAATATATATACTGTTACTATTGCTTCATTTTAGGTGCGTGTTAACGTAATGATATCTCAGTTCCAATCTTTACTCAACTCATATGGAGACGATGTGTCAGACAAGTCACAAACTTTGTTACAAATTATCACCAAGTTCGCCAGCGCATACTGTTCGACAATAGAGGGCACGGCGAGGAACATAGAAACCACCGAACTGTGTGGAGGGGCAAGAATTTGTTACATATTTCATGAGACGTTTGGCCGTACTCTGGACTCAATTCACCCTTTAGTCGGTCAGTATACATAATTTATATTAAACAAAATATCTATATTCGTAAGGTCTTTATAGACAAGTGATACACGTATATATCGATACACATATTACTGGTGCCGTATGCTTGAGATAGAACAAGAATGTGACATCCAGTGTCCAATGAACATAAATGTTAATAAATATCAATACCATAGACAATTTTACTCAGAACTAGCTTGTACATGAGCTTTTGTCCGTATCACCGGGATATGTTCACTGACCAGAATAACAAGTAACTTATGTCTTTCATACTGTATAGTTCCGACATAAAATAGGCCAACCCTTCCTTTTCCATGGGTGTCTTAAGAGGCGACTAAAGGAACTTAAGATATGGGGAGCAGTGCCCCTCTTAAAATTAATTTAAATCATTAAAACCTAAGTGTGGTTGATAACTTACTTGCCAAGCGTAGCAACTACTGGCAAAACACCCCTCTATACGAGGCCTATGTTCAGCAGTAGGCAGTTACCGGTGATATAATAATAACAATATGCCCTTCATCCTGTACGTGTATACCAAATTTAATAGTAATCAAACTCATTTTCACTTTTATAAGATTAGAACAAAGTAAGAAGCTTCATAACTTATACTAAAAAGTAGTTCATGATTATAATACAATATTTTTATATCTCCATATCTTTATAAATATCATGTATAAATATCTTACAGCTTCATATGAAAAGGAGTTCTTTATGTATATGTGATATAAGTAAGGGTTCAATAATTTGAATTTAATATTTTAAATTTATTATACAAAATAACTTAATAGATTTCGCATAAAAAGAAACGAAATTCCATCTCAATCAACAAATTTAGGAGATAAAAAAATCAATACTTAAGTATAGTAATTATGAGTAGGTATCATGTAAATATTGGTTCATTATAACAATTATAAACTTGAAAATTAACCTTAGAAAATTTGAATAATGGATTTACTGTTTATTACCATAAAAAACATTCAGTAATTAATAAATAGCAAAATAAAAAAATATGCATTGTATTCACAGGTTTAACTCGCATGGACATACTGACGGCGATACGTAACGCGACTGGCCCGCGGCCCGCCTTGTTCGTGCCAGAGGTCTCATTTGAATTGCTAGTCAAAAGACAAATTAGGCGATTAGAAGACCCATCATTACGCTGCGTTGAATTGGTAAATAATATTATAGCATAAATCGTCGTGCAGCAAAAAATCATTAATATATTTGGCGAAACCAATTTTTTTGCCCCATTTGGTTTAAAATACAATAATGTACCCTGTTTTAAACAATATAAACATTTTTTTTTCATATTTTCGAAATTACAAAATGTCAATAAGTACCTAAGTACCAATTCTACTGGACTTTTCTCCGCGAAAACTAATTAAGTTGATTTTTTAATTTTAGTTTAAACAAATAAACAGCTGTTGAATTTCATTAATTACACGTAGTTTTATAAAAATTGTAAGCTAAGTTTTCTTCCTACAAATGTTTTTGATAGCATTTAGAAGCTATATCTTTACGTAAAAAATATAGCTATATTTTTACGTAAAAAAATAGTCAACGCGATTATTCTTAGAATCTGTTTTTTGTAGTTGATGAATTTTCATTGCACAACGACGAAATAAGGTGTATTGGTGTACCACAGTTTCACCTACGGACACCATTCCTGTGAAATTTCGGAACATGTTGTCTTATGGACATTTGTGTTAAAAAGGAAGGAAGGATCCTTACTTCGATAGATTAGACTTCTTATCATACTAATATTGATAAATTTACACTTAAATGACTGAAATTAAAGTTGGTATAAAATAAACAGTTAATTATCCTAATACACAGTAAAGCAGTGGGATACAACTAGTATACGTACATAGTATTTTAAACAGTTGATGTTTTATAATATTTTTTTATTTTGTTTTATTCAAACTATTGTATGTTAGTTGGATATTTTACACTGTTTAGAGCCGATATTTACATTGCCAAACTAGTAGTGACTTAAAATAAATTTCACTACATTAATGTCATCAGTAGTGCTGTGAATCCTTAATTTCATAATGTATGCATGAATTAATTTCGTGAAACTACAACGTACAACTAAAACAGTTTCGTGCACAGTTCAATTTTTAAACAAAACTACTGCCATGCGATTAATTTAGAGAAAAATATTTTAATACATTAAAAATTAATAATATAAATAATTATATTATTCGGCTTTCGCTTATATTTTGGTACAGGTCCACGAAGAAATGCAACGGATAGTGCAACACTGCGGTACTGAAGTGCAGCAAGAGATGCTGCGATTTCCCCGGCTTCACCAGCGCATCGTAGACGTCGTCACACAATTACTCCGTACCAGACTGCCGGCTACCAACTCTATGGTATGTACTCTTTAATTCCCTTTAAAAGGGGAAAGACCCCTTTATGTTATATACATATATGTGCCATCTTCAGATGATTAGCAGTAATTGTTTTGAAAATAGTATGACATAATAAATGATCTATAATTATATATCATGGTCATAAGACTATAGATTTCTTTAACAAAACGTTTCACAGGTTGAGAACCTAGTCGCTATTGAATTGGCGTATATCAACACCAAGCATCCGGACTTCCACCGTGAGGCTGCTCTCGTCTCTGGCCTACTGAAGAGTACAGACGGCTTGATTGACGAGAACAGCCCCATATTCAGACAGAAGACACCACGCGCCACCCCCTCACCGGTATCTACATTATTCAAAGTACATATTTTATTGCTTATATTTAGGCCGTGCATGTGGGAACGGGTCTAATATGACACTAACTCGAGGTAAGTATACTGAATGTATTTTTGACTAGTCAAAGATAGAAATACTGAATATTTTACAATCAGTATTGATTACCTTATTGAAGAATTTATGAAAGTTATATCCTTATATTTTTCTTTTTAAATTATAAGTAAAATCTAATTTAAAAAACGTTGTTTTGATTATGTACAACTTAAAATTAAAATTAAATTGACAAATATCTTGAATATTTCATAATTTAATTTCATTAATCTGAAACATTATATGTTTATTGAGAATGCACTATAACCAATAAAAATTAGTACTTGTGTATGCAATATTACACTGTCGTTAAAGACGGTAGTTATATTTATTTGATATTATATCCTGTTATTAAACTAAATATTTGTATCATAAAAAATATTTCAATCAAAGTTTCATATACCTACTATTCCTATTTCTATATTTATAACATTTAATATAATATATTTATGTATTAACTATAACATAACATTATTACATGTTATATGCAATATGAATAATAAATACATTCCAGTGCCATGTTCCGATTTGCTTTCTAAGATTACAATAATGTCTATAGGGAACGGTGGGCGCCTTCTATAATGTAAGCATGTTTTATACTATTTTATATTTTTATATATATCTACATATATACATAATATACTTATTAAGTTTTAAACTCATATCATTGCATTCTTGATGAATAAATATTATTTATATTTTATATTTTGTTCTGCTGTGATAATGCGTTTAATATTATTAGTACTAATATTTTTAAATATGTAATTAACAAACAGTAACATGGTTTATTGCTTTTGGGTGCGGTAGAAAATATTCTTTTTTTTTTCAAACAATTAGTAAAATATATAACTGTTGAACTTGTTTGTAGCTATTTCTTCAACAAATGGGCGAAAGAGGGTCCACTCTAGTATTCTTGGCAAATGTAGTGGACTCATACAATCAGGTAAAATAAAAACTAGATATTGTGTGGACCAGTGCTGTGTATGGTACAGTCATTAATTACATCGATCTTACTAAATCGAGTTACTACACAGTCATTATTCATAGCTTTTAAACATTTACCCTCTTATTCATAAGAACGTTAAATATCTAACAAACTTATTTTAATTATTAAAGTGTTTTGTTTTGTTTTTTTCTTTCGAAATATTTTTTTATGAAACAAAGTGGCAATACACTGTAATAATTAAAATAGGTTTATAGAAAGTGATAATTATTATTATGTATAAGATTATTTAATATTATGTATAAGAGGGTTAGTTTAATATATGTGGACTCTCTTTAGTCTGATGTACCTCATTTTAGAAATCACGTTTATTGCAGTGCATGAATCATCGGTTTAACGATAAGTTTAAATAATGACAGTTTGGAAGGGAATTGATCCCATTGTACTTGTAGTTTTAACTCACTAAAATTAGAGAACATTAAAAATGTTCTTTAATTATATTATTAGAGAACTATTGAAGAACCAGTCTATACGAGAACACTCATTGTGCATCTCATCACATGTTACCGTTCAGTTATTTTTTATTTATAGCTGAATTGAATACATATTAATATAATATTTCATATCAACTATAAATAGTAAATAACAGAAAATATTCACTACATTTATATTGTGAATAAAATATACCTTTTTCTATATCTGAAATGACCAGGATCGATATTAATATTAGATTCATGGGCGCCGGCAATCAATTTTAAGTTTTTCATGTAGATCGATACCACGCTATAGAATGAACAATATTAACTTCTATGGATATATGAATAGTAATCTATGCAATATCATGTTGATTTCAGGGATATCCAAGATATGTATACACCATTTGTCACTTGCCGGCGCAAATGACTAAGGTCGACTTTTAGTTCGATACAGTAAAGTGACATAGAAAAAATATTATTGTCTAAAATAAAGTTATTAACTTTTTATATTATTAAACTTTATAATGATGTAAAGCGGTACACTTCAAGTTCAGTTTGGTTATTTTTACAGGACTACCAAAAAAAAAAGAATTGTTTTACGAAGTTTATATACAATAAGTATATATGTTCAAGTAGATAAGAATAATTAATATTGTTTTTTTTTTTTATATTATATCTTAAAATAATCTTGCGTGAATAAATATTTGCACAAGTGACTTTGTGCATACATTTTATTGTTAGGTGTTTAAAATGTTAGAGACTCGCTAATATGTCAATGTATTCAATGAACTGGATTTATTTTTTATGACAATATTTTCAAAAATCAATATTGACAACATTAAATGTCATTTTACTGTATTGTGTAATTATTAGAGATCATAACAATTAGCGGCTAGTCTGGATTAGATTAAATTCAATACATTCATACTCATATAATTCATGGTTTATGGTTATGTTTTAGCATGTCGCTGCGATCACAGATGGTCATGAGAACAAGTCTCCCAATAACAGTGATTCTCCAGCCACTCCACAGGTGACAGTGTTTTAATACCAAAAGCTTGTTATTTATACATGGGACACTCAGAAAGTTTGGCGACACTAAAAAAATGTTCCTATAGTTCCTATATTTACTTATAGTACATACATTTTTTCAAAGTACTCTCCACCAGACTACAAAGTTTCATGCGTCTAAACCAGTTTTCGAAACACTTTTTCCAGTCCGCCGCAGACACCTCGTTTTCAGCCTGCTCGAACGCTGAGAGCGCATCATCCGGCGACGAAAATTGTATCCCTTTGAGCTGATTTTTAATTTTTTAGAATAAGAAGAAGTCAGACAGTGCTAGATCAGGGCTGTAAGTAGGGTGCCCAGGAGTTTGACCCGTGTGCTGTCTAGGAAGTCCCTCGTTTTGATTGCGGTGTGGGCGGACGCATTATCGTGGTGGAGCAGTAGCCCGCGGATCTCTGTGTTTGGTCGCTTGTTGCTCACAACAGAGAAAACTTCTGCCTAGCATTTGGTAGTATACCATTCAGCATAAATTCTTCTTTGGTTTCGTAAAGGAATTGACACCAAGTAGCCAGTTAAATTGAAAAAGCTCACGAACGAAATCTTCCCCCCGCTTCTAGGTCGCTTTACTTTGGTAGGCGTTGGTTCGATTTAAAACACCCAAACCGTTGACTGGCACTTTTATCACTTCTAACAATGTTGTAAACACGCCGAGACGAGCCTGCTTCAAATTTGTCTATCATATCATGGCACCATTCCACCCTTGCCTGCTACTGAACATCGGTGAGGTTGTACGGCACCTAGCGTGAAACTATCCTCCGCATCCGTAGATAAACGTGTAGAATCTCGTGAAGGCTTCCTGATCCAATTTGCAGTATGTGCTGAATCTCTTGGTATGTAACTTGTCTATTGTCTTGGATAATATTTTTCACTGCTAGCATGTTTTCTTCCGTAACAGCCGTCAAAGGGCGACCACTTCTTTCTTCATCCCCCAAAGTTAGTCGACCGCGTTAAAATGCATTATACCAACGATACACGGTTGCCTTAGAAGGGCCTTCAACCATGAATGCCATTTGAAGTCTATCGTACGATTCGTCCGGTTTCAGGCGACACTTAAAATCGTAAAAAATCATAGTGCGAAAATGTTCTCGACGCAAATCCATTTTTCAATGAGACACGGTAATTTTAATTAGCTCGCAAAAAAATGTGGAGGGAAATTTAAATTTAGAAAGTACCTTATTTTACTTATAAGTTATAATATTTGTAAATAAATTATAACTGGCCAGTCTCGCTTACATAAAAACTTTTTCTCGCAATACTTTCTGAGTGACCTGGTACATGTATTTTCACTTTCACAATCATGCGTTTCAGAATTTATAGTGTTAATTTTTTTTATTTTTAAATTGTACTAACTGTTGTTTTTTCTCATAGATCTGCTGTCACAAATCCATGTAGTTCCATACCCGCCAGAATTTCTTTTGCTTTTCACTCTTTTAAACCATTCAGTATTCATATTAAAATTCCTTTTACATTCCACCGAACTCTTATTTAACTTAGTATCTATCAAGATTGTTAGTCCAAGACTAAAAACTTTTGTTAAAGGGGTTTAATGCCATTGAATAGGATTTATTGAAAAATTAAATTTATACAAGTTTACGGTCTTAGGCCAACATTAACTAAAACTCCCATAACATTAGCCGATTATTAACTAGTATTACGTACGTACCTAAACATGCAATTTTATATAGATTAATTCCTTCACAGATGAACGGCACTCCAGAGAATAAGGTTCTGACTCCTCAAAAGCCTGTTAACCTGCTACCGGAGGTGCCAAGCCAGACGTCGCGCAAGCTTTCCGATCGAGAACAGCATGACTGCGATGTTATTGGTAAGAAAGATTCTGTTTATCTATTATACTACTTATATCTAATAAAATAAACAACAAGATTTAAACCACATATCTACAAACTACCCTATTTTATCAATTTTACTTATAAACTTGTGCATATTTTATTAGAATTTATGAATTAATGAGCTTAAGAGCGTTCATAATTTTGGCTTGAAAAAGTGTGGCAACGTCGCAATTATAGGTCAAATTTTCAAAAATAATTTCCACTAAATACTACACCTACTTCGCATTTTGCTTTTTAGTGACACTTTTATAAGAAGATTAATGCATGATTAACGTTTTAGTTCAATAGCACAGAATTATTTAAAAAATAATTCAGACACATTAAAAATTGTTAAATTGTTTTTGAAAATTAAGAGATAATTGCAACGTTGCCGCACTTTAGCAAGCTAAATTATGAACACTTTTCAGTTGTATACTAAGATCGCTCACAGATTCTAATAAAACACCTATTCGATATATGAAGTCGCAAACAAATCTTAGTTTAAGTTCTCGAAAGAATCCACTTTATATATATAAATTCAGGGCAACCTCGGTAGTAGCTATCAAATAATTCTACTAATTGTTCATGTAAGCTTACACAGTTGTCATAATATACCATTATAATTGTTATATTATAATTAATAAGTTTGTTCTTTAACATGTATTAGGCGCGAACATATTTCACCTAATTGACTTATCCCTTATCGACGATACATTACACACCTCATTTCACAGACGCATTTCGAATCTCCGATATCTATTCTAGCAGCGAGATATACCAACCATTATTAAAATACTATCTCTTTTTACTATCCCTTTGATTCCATAGCAGTCCTCAGGAAATACCAGATAAATTTTCACTGCCCGTTTTTAATCCGCGCTGTTTTCCCCTTAGTATATATAAAGCAAATTTGTAAGATTTCAAAAAGGATTCCATTTTTATTTCATTTATTTTATCCTTTTATGTCAATCTAACTAATTTCTCCGCTTTAAGAGTCTAAAGGGGCCTGACCCAATTGATGTATAGATATCGCCATATTATAAAAATAATAGTCAACTAGGCTTTGGGGAGTTATGAAAAATGTTGTAGTTTAAGTGACGCTAATAAAACATTAAAGCTTCGTCGTCGTCGTCGAAAAAAATTTTTTTTTATTATTTACAATGTCATTTGTTTCTACTTTCTAATCCCCTTATTCATAAAAACTAAACCCTTCTATAAACCTATTTTAACTATTACACTGTTTTGTCACTTTCTTTCAAATTAGGAATTTAGCATCAAAAAGATAAAACAGTTCAATAACTAAAATATGTTTATGAGAGGTTTGAAGTTTTTATGAATAAGAGGGTGTAAGTCTACAAAAACTGATTTAAATCCACCTTATAATGCTGCCTTTGTCAATATTAATTAAAATGTTTCATATATAACATTTAGACACTTGTGTTTGTACTATGGTTGAACGTTGATTTTCTGTTGCGATGCTAGGTGGACGGAGTGAGAACACAACAGTACTAAACGCTTACTCAAAAACAAATGACGTCATCACCATGATGCATTTGAACCAAATGGGTGACCTAGTTGGTGAGGATACTGAACACGTTGATGTGAAGCTTCACTCATCTGCTTACTATTGTTAGGTTTCCGACCACCTACCATCATGAACTGTTTGCTTGCAATGGCTTCTACCACAATATGAGCAATATATAATAAATAATAATAACTTTTTAACCTTTATTAGCGGACAATGCACAAACAAAAAATTTTATCCACTATTTACTAACCTGTTTTATATATGTATTGTGACATACAAATTTTTAAAGAAGCCGTTGCATTTTTATATATTGCAATTAGTGCAATTCTTTTTGTTTTCTCTATTTTGTCATTAATTTAGCATGTTATTTCATAATCACTCACATTTCATTTTCTTCATCATTGGCACGATTCAACAATTGCACTATACATTTTCTTTATTCTTCTGTAACGAACTAAATACTTGTGTAATAGAAATATAATTTTAATAAGAGTACTGATTTTTCTAATTTAATAATATTGCCAAATAGTTGCTTATGGTAATAAACAAGAATGTATTCAAAGTTACATATAAATTATGCTTACTCACGATTGTAATTCATTAGAATTTGGTAGAATTTTTACCATTTAAAAAAATATTCTCAATTAGATTATATTTTTGTATGTATGTCATGCAATAACTGTTTTCACTTAAAGTGCCTACTGATTTTGTTAAAGTAAAAAGTAATAACTTTACTAAAAAGTATAATAACCTTTTTGAATTATTACTTAACATCCAGCAAAACAACAGTGGACAGTTATATGGTTTATAGCAAATCACACACAGAATTTACATAACTTATATTTTGCTTTAAATAGCAAATATTTGGCAAATTTGCTTACGCTTAATTTGGATAGCACAATGCTTTCAAGAAAAATAAACATAATATAAAATATAGTTTGTATGTAGTAAGTAAACAAACATTTTGCCCTGTTTCAGAGCGACTGATCAAATCATACTTCTATATTGTGCGCAAGTCGATCCAAGATTCGGTACCAAAAGCAGTGATGCACTTTTTGGTGAATTACGTCAAGGACAATCTCCAGTCTGAACTAGTGACACACCTGTATAAGTCAGATCAAGCAGAGAGCTTGCTCAACGAATCTGAACACATCGCACAGAGAAGAAAGGAAGCCGCGGACATGCTCAAGGTAGGTTGGATCTACTCTTTGACTATATTACAACCGTCAGCTCAAACAATAAATTGTAAGGTCTAACTTCTGAATTTTATGTATTAAGAATGATAAATATTAACATTTTTAAATAGAAATCTACAAAGTTAAGATTTTAAGAGTTATGAAATTTCTAAATTAACATAATGAACTGATTGTCTGAGAATGGTAATTGTGGTGAAGGCTACATACAGCGACAGCAATATTATATATTTGTTGCACAAGATTATTCAGTGATGTAACACTTTGTAAACAGTTATTATTATCATCATGTTAGCCGTTAACTATTCACTGCTGAACAGGGGTCTCCTCCATAAGGGAGGGTTTGCCAGTAGTTACCACGCTTGGCAGGCAGGTTGATTTTTTAAGAGGAGCGCTGCTCCCTACCCTTCGATCATTAAATTCCTTTAGTTGCCTCTTAAGACACCCACGGAAAAGGAGGGGGCTATGTATGTATGTACATTCTATGCCAGAACCACAAGGCAATAATATATTGTCAATTATATGATACAAAACTAAGGAAATAGTCTCCATATTATGTTTCACTTACATTAGAGTCGTTTCGGGGCCACGAATTTTCTAAATCTAATATTTTGATTTGAAACGAAATTAATTTGCAGTTTTATGACCCACCATAAACTGAATGTATATTTTTGACTTAGATCTATTAGAAATTTAATTCATATTGGTGTTTTTCTAAGGATCCATTTGCTGTGATATCAAATTGAAATTTTAACTTGAGAGATATGTTTAGACAAATGGCGCCACAAAATCGACTCCATTGGTTATTAACTAGCACTATTTGTGCTTTGGTTTTACAGATTGAATCCTGCTACAGACCTATCTATAATGTCTGGTATTACTCAGTGTAGTAGTTATTTACTGACACTGTATTTCAGTATATCCGTAATAATAATGTTGTTTTCTTTCAGGCTCTGCAACGTGCCGGACAAATTATTAGTGAGATCCGAGAGACACATATGTGGTGATGGCCGTCGAACGAAGGACTAGTCTGTGAATTAGTTAATTGAGCCATCAGCTCTGTACATACTCCTTTAGTGTAGGTAAATTATGTGCATTAGGCTTTTATATTTACAATACATGCTCCCCATACATTTGCTTTTACAATGGTACTTTCTGCAGCTCTCTGTTGCTATGTATTAGTTAGTTTATTTATGGTTATTGAACCGGTAAATTTATCGATTAAAAAATGAACCAAAAATTCGAGTCAAAGCGGAATACTTAGAAGCAAATGCATGGTTGGTGTAGTTACACTTTTTTAAAAAAAAAACAAGCACTGTGTTTACAGCGTAGCTGTTTTAATACCTATGTATATCCTAAAATTTAGGACATTTTTACGGGGATCCTTTTATGTTTGGAGTTAAGTACTTATTTGATAGTAATTTGTTATTACATACTCATTATTACAAAACAGTGCCAATTGTTATTTTGTGGTCTGTTTTATGGATTATTGCACAAATGTAATGCTGTATAACTTCAGTTACCATTTCATTATTGCTTATTTGTAAGATGCACATAAGGTAGGCTAACTTTGAAGTGTACTCAGTGCTACATAATATTCATATGGAGTGATATTATTAACTCGATTCATGTATTTGTGGATTGTCTTATAGTTCATTAATTGTAGACGATTCTAAAATTATACACATTTACGAATATAATTCAGATATAAACAGGGTTGGTTATATTTTATATTTATGTTAATATGCGTTTGAATGCAAACTCGAAAGACATTTTAGATTACCCAGGCTATTTTATAGAGTTCCTCATTAATTTTAAATAGTATACTATGCTGCGTTATATTTCGTATTTTGAGTCATTATGTGTCATCGTCAAAACTTAGTGATTTATTTAGTTTAATTTTAACTTCAAATAGACTTAGTACTGCAATGTTAAAACAATGTATTTATTGTTATAGTCCGAGGTATGATTCCCTTTATGTAATGAAAGAAACCAATTGAATGTTACACATGGTAAGATTGTATTTAAAAGTCTGTTAATTAATAATATAGATTGATTAATCATATTTGAATAATGGTTTTATTTCGTACCTCTAACAATTATTATTATGTTTATTATTTTAAAGAAAATTATTTTGCTATCTACAAGAGCAGTAACCCAGGGCTTCTTCCGCTTGAATTAAAGTGAAAGTAATATGTTAATTCTGGCAAGTATTCAGTATGTAACTTTTTAGAGCACTAACAAACCGCAAAAAATTTAAACCAATTAGGAAACTTAATTAGTAATGATGCAATTAAAATTTGAAAATGTGATACAAAGTATAGACAAATACTCGCTTAGCTTTCTTAGAATATATGTATTAATTTTCGGACCTTTTTCAATAGATAATATATCTCCTTACTGGTGTACGATGGCGTAATATCAGCGAAAGATGATAGGTAAGGATAAAAGTAGGTATAGTTGTCCCACGACAACAAATTCACCTAGTATTAAACCTCAATATTTTCTACAAGTGACTACAGTTACTTCATGAAGATAAATGGTTTCAATCAGCGCGTGTTACTAATGATGACTTATGAAGACTCCAAGTTGCTCAGTGACCTATTGATATTGCTATTCTCCGTGTCTTATAGAATCCGAAATGAGTATATCTGCTGAAATGATAATGCACCCAAAGGATAACGGAGCAAACTTAGGTCTAAAGTTACAACCCTGCATAAGCTAACTTGTATAAGATAGCGGCTTTCTTAAAACATTAAAGCCTAACTGTGGTTACCAAGCGTGGCGACTATTGGCAAAACCCTCCAATAGAGGGAGGCCTTTGTTCGTCAGTGGACAGTAACGGCTGATATCATCATCATCAATTACTAACTGTAATTAAAAAGTATTTATCGAATAATCTAAAAAAGCAAAAAATAAGAATAAAATACCTCAGAGACCAATAAATTCTTTAAAAAGTTGATAATTTTGGCTTGGCGAAATTAACGTTTTTGAGATAAAGCACTTTTTAAGTAATTGGTCAGAAACATTGAAACATCTTCAATTGTTTTTGAAAATTGACAGGTAACTGCCAGATTGCTATACTTCATTATGAACACTGAAAATAAGAATATTAAAGAATACTAAGCCAGTACAAATAAAAAATAAATTAGGTCACTGTGAATGTTTATTTTTTCTATCATTTTTATTTGCATTTAAAAAGTTTGCCTACTTAAAAAAATATCTCTGACTACTATATCACAAAGATATTTTATCTCCATCAGGGGTTTAGTCATGATTATTCATGCCCTCGACTATCTGGCGCTGGATATAAGTACATAATAATGAAGCTAGATGGCATTATTAACAAGTTGTTATGTACATTATGATACAATATCGAAGAAGAGATGGATAGAAGGACTAAATGCCAACTTCAATAATAAACTCCTTGAGGTTTGTTGATTCCTCAATCCTTTTATTTATCAATTTTTTTTAATCACGCTCACGGAACATAAAAAGGCAAACATGTGGACGGTGCACCTGTTGAAGTGGCAATCATTGTCTAAAGAATTAAATCGCAACATCAACATGGATGCGAATATGAATCTAGCTAGATTATGGTTTCATTATCATCATCATATATGCATTTAACTGTCTACTGCTGAACATTAGCCTCCTACTAGAGGAGTCTTCTAGATGCATGGTCTAACTAATCATGATTTAGTTGAGGACTCATTGGGTACTTACATCCTCTTTCGCAGTGTATTAGCTACCTAAATATTTGTTTCGTCGTCCTTTCGTTCGTCATTCATTTTATCATCCAATCCTTTCTCATTGAGGAGGAAGGAATTGTTAGTAATGCGGTGTAACATCGCCATTGCTAGCAATGCACCCTATCAGGTCGACCACCACGCGATTCTCCCTTCGAATGTTTCTCACAATAGTTTGCAGGTCGACCTTCACGTGGTCCGCCCTGGAAACCATTGGGATGAAATTATATTTTTTAAATGCATCATTCATTAAAAAAATATTTCTATATTACACAATTATACCCAATCACTAAATCAACTACAAGCATTCAACTCACAGTTTGCTCTAGGAATGCTCTCAACCTAAAAACAAAGGAGTAACAGTAAGACACAGATTTCACACAGGACGTAATTATTATAAACAATCGAGTGATAACAAATACGTAAAAGGAACACTACTGGACATAGTTGCTGTTATTTAAACATCCGCCATTGCTGAGGCCCGACAATAGAGTCGCCGTTTTCTTGCTCTTGCTTGTTGTTTCGATTGCCAACAAGAATAAAAAAGGTGCAAAGGCAATGACTAATACAGCCTTGTGATGTGACGTGGCAAGGAGTTACGCCTACAAATTAACGAATAAGTGCTCCGCCCACAGCAAAAAGCCTTTCAAATTTGCTAAAAAACACAATTCAATATGGCTGAATTTTTTTAAACGTAATTTCAAATTTAGTAGGTACTGAAAACATTACCGACTGGCTGTAAACAAAGCAACGATTTTATTGTTATTTTGTCTGTTTCTCTTGAACGCCGTCGACGACCCCGTTGTGTACGTAGCATTATTAATGAATGTTACATATTATAGTAGTTGTGTCATTAATTGCGTTTGGTCAGCAGCTCAGGATCAGCGAGCGGACGATCGCCTCCCACACTGACGCGCGAGCGCACCGCCTCACTATGATATTGAGCCCGAATGGTGCGCCCGCACATCGCAATACGTTATGAGAACCAATACTTGATAGCCAGTGACTAAGTGTCTGTGAAACAACTGACAACAAAAATTTCAGTGATTGTGTTGTATTGTTCAGACAGGTTTGTTTTTTTTATTATTTATAACTGTTGTACGACATTTGATATTTCTATGTTTACACTTAGACTGTAAGTTAGGATTATCTTTTTGTAAAATGTTTAGGTACTGTGCAAGTAATGTAATTTTCTGAAATTTAATTTATTAAAAAACGTATATAAATAAGGTATAGACAACTTGAAAGTCAACAACTTTCGTCTTTATTGGCAACAATTTGCGAATTGTAGAGACGTTTCTTTTGTGGCGCAATTCAAACTTCATAAAAATCTATAAACCGAAGATACTTACTTACTCGTAAATTGTAACTTTACAATTCATATATAAACTAAATACTTGAAAATTTTCTACTAACAAAACCTTATACCTATTAAACAAATATATGCCAGTCAGGTATTTACAGTTAAAATTCTACTATTGGTAGTAGATTAGTACTTTACAATCGATAAAAACAAATCTCTCGTATACCTAAACTTTGAAAATCGGAACAGTTCATCATTGAAGAGACCCTGAGATTTGGACAAGGTCGAAATGACGTCATTTATTATGATGATGTAGTTGTAGGACATGTGGGCTGCGAGACAGTACAGCTACAGCCCGCGACGGATGTTGTGTATACATGTATTCATTCCTCTTATAATTGATTAAGTGCTCTACAACAGTGTGCGTCTGTTAGTCCATGAATGTATAGAATTGGATAGGATTACATCCGGTGATAGTTCACCAGCCATCAGAAAGCGAATGCACTTTGTTGCACCAGGTGTATAGGTATGCAACGTGCAATCACGTGATACCTATAACTACGAGTAAGTAGACATTACGAAACTGGTTAGGTATAGTGGTATCGCTTAAATAGCTGGTTTTATGTAACTGTCAACATTAATAATACTATATAGATTGATTACAGAGATTGTAATATTCAGACAAGATTCAGACAGTTTGTATGCATTATTAATGTTCTACACTTAACATATTAAGTGACCATTTTACAGTTAGTTTACCAACTTTCTACAAACCTTTTAATGGAAACGATTATTTTAATAGTGTACTATAAAAATTTTGTTAGTAGCGTACCTAATTAAATTTTAAACATCCATCATAAAGGCTTTTCAATTAACAATGGTCTTTAAAGTCGGATGGATTTCAAAATTTTAAACATTGTACACGAAAGAATAATATCTGTGTAGAAAATTATTTATCCAGCCAATTTTTAGGACTAAATAAATTTGTATCTTTAATCAAATTACTCTCACTAATCTGTTAGGCCATACGGCATACGGGGTTTCTCTACACTTAACACGTTTCATAACATTTCCATAGAGCCTTCTAAAAGTTTCCTTATAGTGGAAGTTTAAACAGATACACACCAAAAGTTTAACGACGTGTCTACAAAATTTTAAATAAATATATATGTATGTATTATATATATTGTGTATACATATATATTTGTATCTAAAAATAAGTATCGTAATAGTCAGGAATTTCGGAAATTCATAGTCTTTTTGAGATTGAGGGAAGAGAATAATAATAAATAGTAATGTCTAGCAGTCAGGTAGATTCCCTAACTTTTCTCCCTGGAAACCATGGTGGTTAAATTCCTTGAGAATTTGTCACAGCGAGCTAATTGACGTAATTTCATTTTCATCTGTCATCGCTCACTGGTATACCGTGAACGTATAATGATAATGCAAGTGTGGTAACCATTTAATTTTCAAATTAAAATTCGTATAAATTCTTTCGCTCATAAAATCAAGGCCCGTCCAAATTATAAACTTCTAGTTTCGTTAGTTTAATTTTGTGTTGATGTTAGTTATTAGTTCGTAGCAAATCAAAATCAGATAACGAAAATTAGAGACCCGATCTAGACGCGAAACATTTTAGAAAATTTCGTTTCTCAAATTGGCGCGACTGAGAATTTAACCCGAGCCTTCAGTTACGCAAAACAATATAGGTGCAATCCACTGCGCTACGGAGGTCGTTAAAATAAATAATAAATTGATTTGTCTGTCAAATGCATAGTTAGTGTAAATTTCGGCTGTCAAGAAGAAATGCTGAATAATGAGTTTGATAGACGCGACATGACCTTAGACGACCTTTGTATGAAGCGGGTGCAAGGTCTTAAACACCATCATTGGAAACTCATTAAATTGCAAAGGCAGTGTACAAACTGCAAATAAGAAATACTACTAATATTTTGTCACGCTTGTCGAGACCAATATTGGGAAAGAAGTTGAGTTATGAATTATTTACTGTGGTATTCCTACCAGTTTGATAGACACTTAAAAAATAACGGCTGTAAAAATATAATAAGTGATACTCGTAATAACAAGTTAGAATGTGCAAATAAAACCCTTTTTATGTATGTGATAGGTAACTTCACTTGGATCAGTAAGCCCGTTTTGAAATTCCATGCGTCGCTTTCGAATCCCCCAGCAATGAATATAAAAATATATAATCAACAATTTATTGTAAAATAAATTTAGGTCAATAATAAGTATTTATTATTACTCATGACTCAAATTTCCAATTGATAGCATTGGTAACTACTAATGTTATCAATACTAGAAACTGCTATATCTTAACAACTGTTAAGATAAAGCGTAAAATTTTGGATAAAATTATATAGATATAATTGCCCACATGTGATATATTATTTTTAGTCTAATTTTTGTTGCGGCTTCAGTAAACCTAGATGACTATACCAGCCTGATAGGGAATGTCTGAATATGGGTGATTATACGAGCCTAATAGGGAATGTCTGAATATTCGTATCAATTTATGAAGAACACCTTTACCTACAGATAAGTGATATTTATGCCTACAATAGTAGAATTTTTTATTATATAATAGAAGAAAATTATTTATTTGCTAAAATGTGTTTATATTATAGCATTATGTTAATCAACAGTACCTTCAAATCACCACCGCCTCAATCGAAAATTACCAATTCATGTTACAGAATACAATCAACGAAAACATAGATAGAAATTATACATTAAAATAGAATTAAAACCACATAAAATTAATTTATAACAACAATAGAATAACTTCAAAATAAACACGTAATAGATATCTGTCTTCAATTTGTATTAAGTCACTATGACTCAATTATATAACTGCTAAAAATAAATATATGCATTTAAATCTCATAATTTTATTTAAAATAAGTACCTACTTGTACTGTGTTTCACTGTCTTTACCATAAAACGTTTTTAACGTTTAAAACTTTTTTTTTTCTTTCTTTTTGCCAGCTACATTAAATGCATGAATTTACATAGATAAAGAAATAGAGCACTTCCAGATGGCGTAACTAAATCATACGCCAGATTTAAGGTTAGACTTTCAGGAACCTAATAAAATATCAATAATTAATGTTTATTTTATTGTCCATATTAAGATCCTATATATTCATTTTTTTCTTTTAATATCTACCTCAATAGACAGACATCGTCTAGTTACAATATTATTGTATTAACAAGATTGCTCTTATCCCGTTTTATCAGCTTTCTTAAATAATTTCCACGTATCCAATTCCCTAAACAAAGACTGTGGAACATATCGCAAGTCTTTTAAATAATAATTTGTGATTGATATAATGGAGTACTATCAAGTCACAACATAAACACTGAACTAAAATATTAGGTAGTTACGTATAAGCTAGGTATGTAACATAGTAATTATTTTTTACAAACATATATTGTTCCCTAATTAAAAGCAAGAGTTCGAAAAGATACTTTTCATATTTCAGTTACAATGTGTATGATTTCGACGTTCACATAAAGTGTATTGTCGCATATAAATATTGCATTTGTTGATCTATGGGTAAGCTATAGTGACAGTTCGCCCACGAACGCGTCACCGCTGCCGAATATGGACCTTCGATTTGCATTGGTGTTCAAACCTAACGAATAAATTACCAGTAACCATATTAGAGCTCGGAGAACGGTATCCCATATAAGAACATAATTTACGACAATTATTTACCACTGAATAATATGGATATAGTTATACGACTCAATATTTGGAAGTGTCAAATGATAATAAACAAATTTTCCATAATGGTTATTTTACTATTGCTTGAGGGAACTTAAGAAGGTATTATTAAACCACAATTACCGGACTGTAATAAGAAACACCTGCATAATATAAAGTAACCAAAAGCAAAAACCTCATTATGGAAGACATTGTGTCATGCACGTAGCCAGCTTAACTTTATCAACGGCGTCTTATTTTATTAGTAGTAAAATCCAAACAAGTCTTTATGATAGAAAATATTAAAAAGTATATTCTGAGGAATGAAACAGAATTAACATACGAAACACAATTGCAAGCAATGCAAAAAGGTAACGTAGAGTATATCCAACGGATGTCCAACGTGCGGAACAGATGGAAAGTGTTCAGCATAACTACTTGTAGAAATATCAAAATCACTGCAAAAACAGTTAATCGCGCCGCTCCAGTACCTCAAAATAGAAACTCAAGAGTTTGTGCACTTACCCACACTTTAGGGTGATGTAAACGATCGCGCTGCGCGAATATTTATGGGCTATTAAGCACTTGATACAGTTCATTGAAATTAACCTCATCGATTCGTGCGTATTCCAATTTTAACAAACAAAAATATATATTTCCTGTTTATATCACTCTAGTTCATGTTGTGGTCTCACCAATAGGTACTTAATAGATAAAGGTAGGTACCTAGTTTGTTTCCAATAATTTAATATCAATAATTAATATTGCCTTTGAATGCATAACAAGATACAAGTCATATACAACATCTAATAATGGATGGGCATTATAAATATACTGTATTATATTGAGAATCCTGACTGCTGATTCTCCAACGCACAGTCATAACTACTAAGCTGAGAATAACCATGTTTCGATAGTAAGTTCCTTTTATAACTTACACGAGTAATAAGAAAGGATTTTTCAAAAATCAGCCCCTAAGAATGTAAATATAAAGGTGGGAGTTTGTATGAGACAGTACATTTTTTAATCAATTAAC